CTCTGGCCACGCTTCCGCAGTTATATACCAGCCCTCCTGCGCCTCCACATTTATGGACTACGAAGAAACAGTAATACCCAAGCGTGATGACAGCAATGATGAAAGGCAGAACGACTCCTCTCAATATCCCTTTGGAGGTAGAAGCCCAACCTTTGCAGGCATTCCATCCAATATGCAGTTTCACGCATCCTACGGAGCCGGCGGGTGCCATAATTGTGAGCCAAACATGAAACCGAGTGACAATGATTTGGCGGCCTTAAGTATGAGACATTTTGCTGAAGAAATTGCCAAACAGTCTCGTTATATATCAAGCATTCGACAGTTTAACGATAACCTAAGGAATCGGGATCCTACGGATAGCCATTACAAGAGTCTGCCCTCAAATTTAGTCAATGCACAGAGACGCTGCATATTGATCCCAATGTGTATAGCCATGCAAAATATAATAAATAAGAGCTTGGAATGGCACTATAAAAAGATCACAACGCCATGACAATTATTAGGATAGCCGAAAGAGTTTTTGTGAAGCCAAATAAGCCAATTTCTATAGTTCACATACATATAGTTAATATTCCATTTCGTTAACCATTCCAGCCGAACATGTTAACATACAAACGTAGCCTAGGTGTGCAATTCATAATTGAACCATTAATGACTTAACTCATTGTATTCAAAATATATAGTAGGTGATTGTATGGATGTAAGCATACGAGGATATGCAATATAATAAGATGCCTTTTATAAGTTAACGCCTAATTAAGTAGATTAACTAAGATCATAATATCGAATGATGGATATTGTGCTTTAATAGCTTGTACAAACCTATTAGAATATATTACTATGGTAATTAATATGCTGTAAGCTTTAAATAGTTATTTACTGATAATGATAAAAATGTAAAGAATTCAAAAATATGCATATCTAAATGATTTTGCAATAAATATGTACAACTTTTAATAAGCGGCAGATGCCACTTAATCGACAAAGTGATCGATAAACTACTCTACAAAGTATTTTTTGTTATAAATTGCCTTCATTATGTTCAAAGTGCTAATCGAATGTGATCAGATACCGTATAATATAGTTGTATAGAAACTAGTTTGAAACCAGGACAATTCATATTAGCATCAAATAATATGGAATAGACCACAGTAATGCGGCGTACATGGCAAAAGGTCCTAATCAAACACATACTATCGGCTATAATAATAATTAATCAATGTATATTTATATATCCTTTATTATACATGAATATCAATAATAGTTTCAAATAGACATTGAACATTTATTCGAAACGTTGTGTATTATTTCTAATACTCTATATTGTGCCAATTTATTACGCTCGCATCTGTGGCCATGTGATTTATAGTTAAATAATGTTAGGTCAACAGTGATCCATCTGCCGAGCCTAGTAGCATAAACTTCTAAAATGGAGAGCATGCAATTTGTTTCAAATCAATGATATGAAGGATATTGTAGTTTTAGCATGAGTGAAGCTTAATGATATTAACATGAATCTATGCATATGCTCAAATATAAACAACAAAAATAATCCCAAGCGGAAATTTTTCGCATCGCATTCCTCATAACATCTCCTCTTGATCCGTCTTAGAGGAAAATACAGCACATTTCATGAGTAATTAATTAACCTTTTTACCTGAGTTATACAATTATTTTTATTTTAATCTATTTGTATTGTACACTTTAAGCAGGATCTCCATGCAATTAAAGACTTCTTTGCTTGCGAGGTCGTGGTGGATTCCAGGATACTGGTGTGTTGTCAGTAACGGAAACAATATTTAAGCCGCCCATTTGCAGGCCTTTGATGGCCGACTATAATAATAAATTATATGCATAAATGGACAGGATTTCGATGTCATCAATATAATTACAATTACTCACCATTCTTCCGGGTCCCAGTCCACGCACTTTCACTCGAATTGTTTTCCACCCAAGCTCAACAGCTTTCTGAAAGAATAATCAATAATATTAGAAATCAAATAAAAAGTAATATCGAATCATTAATCCTACCGCGCCTATAGTAACCGCAGTGGCCTGTGCGGCTATATTCGTTCCTTTTCTGGTATTTTTGAATCCTTCGATTCCACAAGATCGTATTAGGCGTGGCACACCTACAGTATCGGTATCAATGAAAGTATAAATTTGACATCTCCTTTTAGAAAATTAATTCGAAACTCGCCTTTATAGTCCGTCACTGATATTATTGTGTTATTGGGGGACACCCGTATGTTACAAATGGGCAGCTCGTTGAAGGGAATGCCATTGAAGAGCTTGGTGGCAGTCGTGGCATCAGGAAAGGATTTCGCCCGTCTATTACAATAAATATAACAATGTTTTGGCATGTGAATTGATCAACTTATGCAGGTGGTGTCTTCGCTTACCGGTTGAACAGCGTGTCGATGTCGACAGATTTCTCGCCAGCGGTGCCCTCATCTTTAGCCGGCAGTGACGCCAGCATTTCCTTGCGGTCTTCCGCTTTTCGCAAAATCACGCTTGTGTGTATTAACGCACTCTTCGATAAAATTGTGCATTGTTTAATACAATTTATTCCAGCCAAAATTGAGGATTTCATAAACATTTTGAATATACAAATATAATAACAATTACATCACTAGAGTTCAAATAGTCTGGCATCACTACACTTCTTTGGTAGTGTTGAAAAATGCGTCAGCATCAACAAGTTTATTTTGTGAATGGCAACTCCATATGGACATGGAAGAAGCACATTTATTTTCACGTGTTTGAATGCAGCAGTGAGACGCAGATAAATATCTTGAAATGGCTCTTAAAAGACTAAAAAGTTGGTTATTAATTATTTATAACTAATGATATTCAGCTTATTAATCACGAATACTTTTAGCGAAAAAATCAAAGCGTTTGACTGGCAAACTCAAGCACAAAATTGATAAAAAGGTGCGTGAACACAACCGTAAGGAGCGTCGTGAGGCAAAAAAGAATACCAAGAAGGGCAGCAAGAAACAGAAACTAATACAGATTCCAAACATATGCCCGTTCAAAGATGATATCCTCAAAGAAGTGGAGGAGGCCAAGCAACGACAGGAAGCTGAACGCCAGGCCCGGCGAGAAATGATAAAAGCTGAGCGCGAAAAGAACAAATTCAAGTCGCTGGAATCGATGGTGGAAGACGCCGATATGCGGGGCACAGTGCACGGAATAATGCATGAAGACAGCGCCGGTGAGGGCAATTCGAACGAAAAAGTATATAAGAACGCCGCCACGAAGGAACAGTCGTTGAAGCAGTACTTTAAGGAGTTTCGAAAAGTGATTGAGAATGCCGACGTCGTTCTGGAAGTGGTCGATGCACGTGATCCCCTGGGCACACGGTGCACTGAAGTTGAGCGAGCGGTGCGCGCAGCCCCTGGGAACAAGCGACTGGTGCTCATTTTGAACAAAGCCGACCTTGTCCCAAGGGAAAACCTGAACAATTGGATCAAGTACTTTAGACGGAGCTTACCCGTCACTGCATTTAAGGCTTCCACACAAGACCAGACCTCAAGATTGGGTCGTCGTAAGCTGCGCGACATGAAGACAGAAAAGTCCATGCAGGGAGGTGTCTGTATTGGAGCAGAATTGCTTATGTCTATGCTTGCCAACTATTGTCGCAATGCGGGGATCAAAACCTCGATTCGCGTCGGAGTTGTTGGAATACCCAACGTGGGCAAGAGTTCCATCATAAACTCGCTAACCCGAGGACGTTCGTGCATGGTTGGAAGTACTCCTGGTGTCACTAAGTAGGTATTCCCCGCCTCTGAATCGTAAATACACATTAATGTAAAACTGGAATAACAATTAACAAATTGTTTAGGGCCATGCAAGAAGTTGAACTGGATTCCAAAATTAAGTTGATTGACTGTCCGGGTATTGTGTTTACAAGCATTGCCAGTGAAGGTAATCAAAATTCACATGCTGTGTTGAAGAACGCGCAGCGTGTGGGCGACGTCAAGGATCCGTTTAGCATAGCCGAGAGCGTTCTGAAGAGAGCCAGCAAGGAGTACTTCTGTAAGATGTACGACATTACCAACTACGACACGTTCGAGGAGTTCTTCGCAAAGAAGGCAGCCAGAATGGGTAAGTAAATGTGGAGAGGTTTTTATCAGGCTGGTTTATTTCAATGTCCACACACCATCCATAGGCAAATTCTTGAAGAAGGGTGTTCCGGATGTTGTGGCCGCTGCTCGTAGTGTTCTGAACGACTGGAACACTGGAAAAATTAAATACTGTACTCAACCTCCTGAAGTGATAGAGAATTCGAATGTACACATAAGTGCTTCGATTGTGCATGCCGACGCGCGAGATTTCGACGTAGACAACTTTGAATCGATGGAGACCGATGTACTAAATCAGTGTCCCGAAAAGACGGATGATATTATGGAGATAACATCTACAGGTCCACTTGAGTTGAGAGTGCCACGTGAAGATACAGAGGTGGCTCCTACAGTAATAACTGAGAGCGAACCACCGTCAAAAGGTCGTAAAAGAAAATTGGAGGAAGATAAAAAAGAAAAGCCAGATCCTGTGCTACTGCTTGAGGGTATTTAGTTTGTACAACTAATTGTTGGCCGTTATTTAATAAAATCATGTTTTAATATTTGCAGAAAATCAATCCCTTAACAAAAATATAAAAGAGCTACAGAAGAAGAAGAAGAAAAAAAATGTACGGAACGAGAAAAAGATTTCAAAAATAACTGACGTTTTGGACAACTTCAGCTTGAGTGCATCATCATCTAATGCAGATAAATACGATTTTGACCAGGATTACAACATTGAATGATTGTACAATTAGAATTGTTTTATACAAGTCATAATCAAATAATATTTTATCTGTTGAAATAAATAAAATACATATACATTTAATTTTTATTAGGCGGACAAAAATACATCTCATTTTTGGAAATGAAGAGATGGAATAAATGGAGATTAAATAATGAAATAATATATTAAATTCAATACAACTTAATATATTAGTTAATTATTGATTATTTATTTTAAGTGGATGCAATGCTCTTAACATAAACTACGAATTACATTTCTTAACGATTCCATAGTCTAAGACTTTAGTTTGTTTAAGAGGGATTATATTATCCTTTATTTTATTATATGTGTCAATCGGTTTCATAACGCTGCCCATCTGATCTGGAAATAGCATCTATATTCACTGAAACATTATTTAAAGCAACATTATCAAGCTGTACCACAGAATCTTTTTCATGCACGATGATTCACAATTTTCAGCTTTGCTTCATGATCAAGAAGTCGAGTTTTGACATTTACTATTGTCAAACAATTGTCAGGTAGGGTCTCTATCTCCCTAGCAACTCTGTCATAGCTAGGCGGAAGAGTTAAAAGTAAATGAGCGATTTGGTCTATTTCGTCTAACTTTACGCACGGCACACTAAGTATAAGGTTGTCAAACAAATTAAAATATTTTAGTAGCGGTGTATCTCCCTCTAGCTTTAGAGCCGATAGTTGCCTTAGTAATGAGAGCATTGATGATACGCTTTTTCGGTCGTAAATGGAATCTAAATTTTCAAAAATTTGCTTAGCATTATTTTCATTATTGGCAACACACAAGAAAGAATCACTCAAGTGGTCTATGATAATCTTCCTTGCCTTTGCTTGTGCGCTCTTCATCGCATCCGATAGGTCCACTTGTTCTTCGTCAATTACTCTTAATAGATCGTTCTCTTCTAAAAGAGCCCTTACTCGAATCTTCCAAATGTAATATTTCTCTCCATCAAACGCTTTTATGTTCCTAACCCCGATATCCATTCTTCTTCTACTTCAGATTTATGATCAGCTCCTATCAAATGCAAATCGGTGTCGCGTCTCTTGCGAAATTAATTTTTACGGCGAATTGGGAAACGGCGTTAATTCCTGTTGAATTTTGAAATACATTTATAAGCTTTTGCGACACAAACACACATACTACACATACATACATATTAAAATATGTTTGCGCATAGTTTATACATACATGTAGCTATTAAGATTCCGTTGTTTTAATACTTCCACTTATATATATCGCTTTACGTTCAACAAACAGAGCCATCAATCATCTGCATTTTGTGCATGTTGAAAATATTTAGCTATAATACGACTAACATATTAAATATGTACATACATATGTATGTATGTATACTTATAAGGATGTATGTATTGACGTACTTTGCTCTTTGGTGTAGTTATCTTATATTAGCGTCTGCTAGAACCCGCCGTCCTTACGCAGCTTCATTGTGTTGCCACTAACCCGCGAATGAGCGACATTGAGTAATAATAGGTTCTGCAAAGCGAACTGTCTACTTGACACTAACAGTTTCAACAATAACAGTGACAGTGACGTCACATTTTCGGAATCAACACGAGTCAGCTCGTGGCCCTGATCAAGAATATATGTATATACTTTACGGGGTCTGCGATGATTCCTTCTGCCTGTTACATACTTTTTAAAACCATTGTGCCATTGCAGGACCAAACTGAAATTACTAGCCATATACCACATAGACTGACACCACGATTGAGGGTCTTTTAACAATGAACTTTCAGCATACATGGGTAGTGGTTCAGGCACTAACCATAAAACACATAGACCGGACAAGTAGTGTAAAGCGATTCTATGGTTCTATGGTTAGTGGTTCAGGTCATATAACAGAACAGAACAGAAGCCGAAAATGTGACGTCCCAGCATAACTGTTAAGTTCAATTTAAAAGTAACGGAACTGCTCTTTGCGCAACTACAAAGCCTTTTAACGGCGATCTCGTAAAATATTGTTCAACTTGGATCAACAATTTGCTAAAGCCTTCGATGTTTGGTGAAAACATTCTATAGATGTATACATACATATATTTGTACACAGTGTCAGCCGTAGATGTAACTTTGTAGTATCCCCAACCCATTGAGGCGTGACAACCGAGCAGAAAGATATACATATACTACGTAAAATATTGAAAGTGAATGGTTTTAGCTTGGGTTGCAAGATTGAACATGCAATATCTGTTTTCATAATTTTAATATTTGTGACTGTGCTAAAAAGGATACTTTCAAGCACTTAAATATTGAAATAGTAAATAATATAAATAATACATTTAGATAAAACGAATTACAAACTCTTATAATATTAATTATGGCATTGAGTAACATTGAGTGGATAGCAAAATACAAAGATGACAGTGAAAAATCAAAATCTGTATATAAGTTTAAATTTTATTACAAAATATTTCTTAAAACTTAACAGTACAACTACAACTATTAACGCTCAATTAATGTTTGATCATTTTGAAAATGCTGTCAGTATGAGCATACGAACATACAGCCACACATACGTAAGCAAGTATGCATGAGCGTACATCAGCAGATGCATACATACATAATACACTCAAAATGACCCAAGTCCAAGCTGTTTTTAAAATTAGTTTTTACTACTCATGTACTCATACGTACGTACTTATGGGTTTCATAAAAGGGCGTATAGTTATTATAATAATAAATTTTTGGAATTAAAATGTACAGGTTCACATATGTATGTATGTATGCGTAGGTAATTTCTGATGGTTCATAGTTTGTAATTCATAGGAGGAGTCGGTACCACAACAATATTTACAGGTGTCCTGCAGTGTAATCGAATTTAGACATTTTCCCTTGCATTACAACAACTTCATACAATTCTTTTGGCTATTATATTGCGAAAACCCTTTCGTCTTACTCAAACTTGCATTTCCGTCAGATTGAAAGGCAACTGAGTTTTGGGTTCGGGTGGATAAAGAACTAAAACGCGAATTATATCATTTACAAAATTCGCCGAAAGTTAAATAATTACTATTCGAATTGAATAAAAATATCAGAGAGTTTGAGCATGGCTATGTATGCTAACTACCAAAGATCAAACACACTGAACCTTTTCTCAATTTATACAAACGAATACAAACATAATCTGGCTACAAAATTTGTACTTTTGTAATTTCCTTAAAAAATGTGAAATATGAATTTAAAGCCATAATTTTTGGGGTGACTGTTTAGGAAATCATTGAAGTTGTATGTGCTGCCATTGCTATATCGACTACATCCGCTTTTTGCCTATCTTTCTTAAGTACATCTGTATATACAATTTAAAATAGGATATGTACATGTATTTAGTGTTTGTACATACATTTGACATTTTCGCTCATTGCATTCATACATACTTAATACATATGCAAATGTACATGTAGAGTGAATCACAGGATTTTAATTTTACTATGTTCAACAATCAATAACTATATGAATTTAACACTCCTAGCTCCGTCGCTGCGCATGCTTTACACATAAGTTAATTTCGATGTGGCATTTAGCAATTAATTGAAACACTTTTCGTAATTAAGTTTAACTTTTTAAAGTATATAATTTGCAGTCCATTGTTGCCCCTTATGATTAGTTGCTTGCTGCAATTTCGAACTCCTTGTGCCAATTGCTGCTCGGAGTCATCTTAATGTACATGCTTACATAACCCAGTCTCATGCGCATCTTCTAAACTAGCTGAAGCTGCTGTTGCTGCCGGTAGTACACATGGGGCTTGCTGCCCATCGGGCTAGTGCTGGCTGTTCCCGGTACAAGTAACACTTCTGCTGCTGCCGCTGCTGCGCAGCTATGAGCATCAGCTGGTGACTGGCAATGTCACCGCAGATGGCTGAAGTGCACTTCTAGCCAGCAGGGACAGCACATAATATCCTGTCGACGATACATGTTACCCCAGCCCTTGGCGAAACTGATCTTCATACTAAACCGATCGATTGGCCCTAAATGGGTCTGTTCCATCTGCTTTTCGGCCAGCCATTGAGCCCTGCCAAATAAGAAATAGAGTTTAGCGCACGCAATATACATAAGTGTTAATATACCAACTGTACCTGTGTGTTTCAAAGGCTTTGAGACAATAGCCAGGCATCAATTTACACACCCGGTCCAAGCGCTCGGCAAGCGTTGGCGAGTCCACAAATATCGGCACATTGCTTCGATTGTAGATCCACACGTCCCCACACTCCAGACTTAGGGTCACACCTATTTGAAAAAAAATCTTAAACTAAATACACTCGTCTAGTCAGGAGTTCACAGCTCGAGCTTACCCAGACCGATCTTCAGACGCGTCTTTTGGACTGCATCCGACGATGTTTGCTTCCCACAAAATTCGCGTAGGCACATATTCTCTCCAGTGCAGTCCACTGGCCCGTCTGTGTGGATATTAACTGCCAACCTCCTGGCGTGGAACAGGTCTCCAACACGCTGCGATAGTTCCCAATAGGCAATCTGGCACCAAGCATTATTATTCGCGCTGTGATCTAAAATTTAAAAATAATGGAAATCAATACATTAGCAAAATTCGCTGACTTGTTATTATATTATAAACATGTAAGAAAGCTCTACTCGAGACTGCTCGACTACGAAATCCCTTGAACCCTTCGAAGAACTGATATTTCAATCATTTTTCGTTTCCTTTCTGCTTACACAAGAACACACACACAGACGCACATACAAAAACACGCATGGTCTGCAGTGTGGGCTATGACTATGAAAATTTTAAATTTAATTTTTAATAACTTTCCTTGTCGATGGACGATCTTCATGAAACTTTCAGATCGTGCTTATAACATTGAAATGCGTGCATTAGCCAAAGCACAAGTCTCTAGTATTTCAAATACGTCTTTTACAATGAAGGGGTAAATTATAACAAAAATCGAAATTTTATATAAATCATATAAATGAACATTTAAAATTTTGTGCGTCCAACTTCAAAGATGTAGGAGATATAATTTAATAACTGATTTTCGATAAGGTTTTTAATCGATAAAAAAAATAACGGGATGAGTTTTTGGAGATAAACTCGATATCCACGCTATAACACGGGCTATAACACGGGCATTAACAAAAAATTAAAGTCTCAAGCTGTTATTTCTTCTGAGATCGACGCGTTCGTTCGTACGAGCAAACGGACAGACAGACATACAGAATATATATATTTGTAGGGTCTGCCAAGTCTCCTTTTACCTGTTCCATACATTTCAACAAAACCATCATAATCATTTTCCCATTTTGAATGGGTTCAGGGTATAAAAACAAATCTCAGCAAGTAATGTTGCATATAAAGTATATCAAGCAACCGAACATAAGACTCGTTCACGGCCTCATGTCTCGAGGAAAGCTGCAGTAGTTTAATCTGCACATGCTGGAGATCTATTGTTGTTCAAAAACTTTGGATTGTCGCGTCTTCTATGGACGTAGCTTTTCGAACTTGTTTTTGATACAGAGATAATCTAAAATCTTTATCCTAAACTGTACATATACTCAGCTCTAATTTTCATATACGACTATATACATTTCAAGTTAAACCTAGAATATAGCTATTGCCTGTGCATATTAGCGGTCTGCTGGAGGACAAAGAGCTTTGCTCCCCGCTATGTCGACTATGCTGACCTGACTCGTCATTGACACTAAAAAGTATTTTCCGACTAAGGCAAACTGCCAAAGCAAACAAATAAGCGTGCTCTAATCGAAAGTGCACGACTATTATATACCCTAGGTCCTGCAGACGTGCTGTGCTAACTGCGTAATTTATGCGGCTTCAGCGCTTTGGTTCTATAAGTTCTGTTTCTAAACTGAATTGTTGAAAACCCTTTCTATTAGATTGACTTTCCTGATAAACAAAATATTGATGGAGGCATTCAAATGTATAGTATGACTTTGCTTTAGGGAATGCACACATTTGGATGCCTTCATCAATCAGAGCTAGGCGGTACTATAAGTTCGAAACATACTAACTTAGTGTATTCTTTGTAAGCACATCGATTTTAATCGATAAAAGGAAATAGAGGGTGAACTGCCGCCTACACATTCTACCCTGAATTTACATGTCTATGTGTCTATAAAATAGAAAAAAATGAGACTTCGTTATCCAAATATTAAACATATAACACTAAAAATAATACGAAAACATAAAAAGATTTGAAATAAAAAATCAATTAACCTTTTGGTTTCATTTGCAAAACAAAGACAAAAATAATTTGCTATTTTTTTCCTTTTTTTTAAAAATAGTTTTACGATTCTAAACTCATTGGATTTGCTTAACGATTTGGTGTGTAAGCCTCAAAGAAATGTATTTCGTAAATTATTTATATGATTAAGTTATTTAAATACTCTCACTTTGAACTAAAACTTGATAAGCTATATACTGTGAGCCACTGCGAGCTCACTTAATACAGGGTATACAATTTATAGCCTTTGCAGTTTTGCTATTTTGCCACTTCTTTGGCGCCTGCTCTGGCACACGCCATCGATGAGGGGAATTTTTTTCTTGTCTTTGGCTCTTTGGGATCTCTAGCGCCGCCTGAGCGTTGTTGTTTTGTATTTTTCAGTCAATGTGCTATGTACATATGTATATGTATGTATGTATGTATGTATGTATGTATGTATGTACGTATGCACACAATCGTACATAACTACATAATTACAAACAGAAGTGCGAACCGACTGGCTACTACATCATCTTTAAATTTAGATTGTTTTAAATGCTATCTATGTGCATACATACACACACACACGCATACGTATCTACATATATGTACGTGCGTGTGCGCGCAGTGTAAGTTTATTAGTGGCCACACATGTCGGTGTTGTAAGTGCACACACACATACAGACGCACATACATATGCAATAGTATATCTATGCACGCTGTGGTGGCAATATCTTTCCCCCTTATTATTCTTGGCTTATAACTTGCATTAACAGTCCTCGGTTAGGATTAGATCAAGCTCATTCTTGCTGTTAAACGCCTGAGTGGAGCAACTTATTTACCGATGACTCGAGATTGCAGCTTATATCTACATACGAACACATGTGTTCAAGAAAATTGTAGTGCTATTCTACACTAATCTTAAGCTAACGCAAAGGAATATTTATACTCATTATACTCAAATGCATTTTCGGATATACCAGAAATCATATTAGTTGAAGAGCTAGAAAGCTGAAATCTCAAATTCAGATCCGCGTTGACCACTCAATTATACGCCCACTAGGCGCGTAGCAAATCGGAACTGAAGATATAGTGATTTTTCAAATTCTGCTATATTTTGCTAGAAATCTGAAATTTGTTATATGTATATACGCGGCTTGACCACCCAAGTCCAAAGAGCTATGGCGGATATATGTCCTCCCACACAGGCGTGGCAAACCGCAAAAGTTTATATCTCTACTTAACTGCTGATGGGATGTGAATGAGTACTCTGCAAATGGTAACGCCCGACTGCAACGTTCTTACTTGTTTTCCATTACAAAACGAAAAGATGCCCACTTTTTATTTCAAATAGAGTGCAGTGCAGAGAAGAAAACTCTCACAAAATACACTTACATTTAGCTATAAGTAAGCTGTATCGACGACTTTAGGGTCAATAATTGAAAATGAGTAGCTCATAGAAATAGTAATGCTGCATGTAAAAACTCTATAAAGCAATAAATGATTAAATTGTAAAAGAAAGGTTAACAGCAATTAAATTTATAAAATTATATTTTATTTGTATATTAATAAATACATATGTATGTATGGGTGTCAGATAATGTCTTTTATTTATAAGCACGATTTGATTTGAATTAAACTGTAACCTATATCAGAAACTGTAGCCAAAATGGACTGACATTGACTTTCAAATCTGTTATAGATAACAAACTTTACAATATCGGAGATTTCTTTGGATTTATATATGTACGTATGTAATTATGTACATTCATAAAAATTTCAATTTACATTTAAAGACCCAACACTTTATGTGTAAATACATATTTTAATAAATGGTGTGGAACATAATTTTGGCTAATGTATGATGTACTCTTTGCTAAGAAGACCAACTCTGATTCCTCTTGATTTGTATTTAAATTTGTATACGTTTTCATTAATTTATTAAGAGGTTATATAAAGTTAGTTTTTTCTGAATTCTTCCTTTGTTTTCAACACCCTGGTAACAGTATTTGCCCTTCAAGTGCGAATATATCAAATTTAAAGTCTTAATTTACCAACAAGACCCGATCATGTGAACAATTCTATAAATGCATATATGTACATGCAGACATAGTGCATATGTACATACAAGTGTACACTCAGACGCTCATAGATGTAATGCAGAGATGTAATGATGAACATGGGTCAAATCTGATTTTCTGATGGGGCTTTCAAGGAGCCGCGTAGCTTTTGAATTTCAATTAATTAAGCATTCGCATGCAAAGAGCGCCGCATGCCTATAGACCAAATTGATTCAATTTGCTGAATGCAGGCTCTGGCTCTATTTTTAGCACTACTAAGCTAACGGCTCATTCCAATGCAAAAGCTTTTATTCGAAAATGCCATAAAGAAAAAAAAGAGAAATAAATATTGTCCAGTTCGACGGCGGCGTTGGCGGCAGCGCCATGAATGATATCATAACGCCACTGCCCCCGATCACCCGCTACCCACTGAGTAGCTGGCAGAGGCGATAACCAGCCATAGCCATAGTTCCACAGTTCCACAGTGTTTGCACTGTGTAGCCGCGCCCGCGCTGCTCTACAAAGCTTTCGTAAGCAAGCGCCAAAGATTTTTTCTGCTGCTGTCGCAGTCGGCGCAGGCATCGCACAGTAGAGCCTCTGCTGTCAGAGACGGGCAAAAATAAGTAAAGTCATAAACACCGGTTGATTGATTTTTTATGCCATTAGATTGGAAATTAGCCATAAGGACAGAATAAAGGGCAGTTATGAACCCTCAAGTTGGGTAAATTAGAAAAATAAAACGAAACATCTAAATTTTATTGTGCGTAAATACTTAGTTGCATAGGTAGGTAGAAATGCCGACGGTAAATCAAACAACTTGGGTTTGGCTAAACAAATTTCTCCTTTCCTTTTTTTTTTTTTACAAGGTTTTGTTTAAATAGGCATAATTACTGCAAATAATTTGAAGCTAAAAGAAGTGGTTGTCGAATACTTTTTAAACTTTTTAAATATTATTGCTCGTTCCAAAGTTATCAATTTGGCAACGTAAAATGAGCAAAGGCCCCACTGTGAGTCGACAGCCTTGCCGCCGACTCGCTTTTTCGCATTCGCCTCGCAGTGTTTGTATTTGTTTTTCGCTCATTATTTATTTTCGTGTTGTTTTTGCTGTTTTCGTTTAAAAGTTAATATCAATATAGAAAGTGACGACCTGACGCGGCAAACTGGCGCCACGAACAACTTGGCTCGGCCGGCGTGCTCAAACACACGCACGCGACTGCTGCCGTACTCTCTCGCACATTCTCACCACACAAACACAGACACACACACACGCACTCACCCCACAGTATGTGCATAAACACATTTATGTGCGCGCATGTATGTATGTTTTTATATCTATAGAAGCAAGCATGAGTATGCGAGTGTATGCATGTATGTATGTATGAATGTTGTGTCTTACAAACACACACACGTCGGGAGCTGCTTGCTGTTTAGCCGAATTCGTAATAAAGCAGCGCCGAAGATGAGAGAAAGAGAAGAGGAGACCACGTTCAGACTGCGGCATGGCCACAAGCAAACTCACCTTTTCCATCAGTGGTAAAAGACTCAAGACTCGGCACATACAACTGGGACTCCGATTGTTTGATGATGCTGTTGCTGTTGCTGTTGTTGTTCCTATTGCTCTGCACGGCCCACGCAGTCATCGACGAGCTTTCGTTGTTGTTTTGAATGTATTCCTCGGTATCTAGAATTGCCGATTTCTGATCAGTTCAATCCAGTGCCATAGCCACCAAAACCATTTACATACCTTGATCTCTCAGTCTCAGCATTTTTGATCGCTGATACGGCGGGGGTGCGGACTCTGAAAGTGAAAACCCAAGTAAATCATTAAATACATTAGTACATTTATTTATTGTTTTTAAATACTTTTAGCTATTAGGTATTTATATACTGATAAATATTTTTAATCGTTATCCTTTAAAATATCTTAACTTCTCGTTCTTTATGTGTTCTAGATCAAGACGCACTTAATTTTCACGTTTTCTGATAAACGGGTTTCAATTTTGGATTTTTAATGTAAAACATATTAGCAAAGGACAGTACATAATCTATATCTATATCTATGAGTAAATACATACATACATTATATGAAGAATTAATAGTAAATTGTGTGAAGCATAACACTGACCTCTTAAATCATTTATTTTAAAATATACATACATACATACATATGCATATACCCTCCCTTTTGAGATATGTACAGGAATTTATGTATGTATAATATAAAAGCCATGAATTACTTTTACACCCGTTAAATATAAGTCGGTATAGGACAGTGTAATAGCCTAGAGCCGGTCACTAAGGGTTTTGGAAAAACTGAGGAGCAAATCCACTTTATTAGAAATCTAGAAGATGCCCATCTGCTGAAACTCGGATAGTTTTCGAGAAATTAATAAGTAAAAGTAGTCTAGTCTAGTTTTTATTTACATAAAAACATAAAATAATATAAATAAATAATAAATAATTACATATATAAAGAGTGATATCTAATAATATTGCATTGTATTTTTTTTTAATATTTAATTGTATATATTGTATATAAATATTGTATATAAATGTATATATTGTATGATATACCAATCTTTAGACTTCCCTTTTTAAATACATAAGTGTTCGAAACCATATGAGTGATGAGCGTTGAACCCCACTCATACCAGGACACCATGTTAATTCAAGATAACAATTAACAAAACATAGATATACTATAGAATCTAGCTATAGAATCGCTTCAGAGACCCAGGTCTTCAATTGATTCCTAAGTATGTATGCATGTGAGGCCTGTCAATCTCGGACAGATCCTTGGCATCGCAGATACAAATCGTCTAGCTTCTTTATTAATCAATAGAGGACCAATAAATATGTACATATAGAGATAGATATATTAATAAATGTAAGCAGTTTGGAGAATTACCCAAGACTACGACAGGTTGAAATGCGCGTGTTTAAGACAAGCTGTGCGATGAGATCATGCCTCACAAAAATAGTACAATATTAGTATTCGAGAATACATACACACATATGCACGTTGGTACACACAGAAACACATACAACACATCTAACAAAGCCAAAGCAAAGCGAGACCGAAACAAAAAAAAGAAGCAAGATCAGAAAAGAAAACAAGTGGAAGCGCTCAAGAGGTGTTCACTAAAAGATACCCTGTTTGCGGAATTGCATTAGCAGTATAAATCATATATAGATATACGTTTATATGTATGTGTTACATTCCCTATTTAATATTAACTCAGTGATTCGCAAGTGATACGCTAATCTACGCAAAGAGATGCGTGGACATACATGAATACCCTCTTAGCATCTTCTGTGTACAGGGTATAAAGCAGCAACAAACTTGAGCGCAGCCAGGCCAAACATCAGCGCGGCGAAATAAAAATAAATAAATAAAATAAATAATGTTTGCATATCAGCCAGCAGCACTGGGGGACATTTTATTGGCGCACAAATCGTTTGATGTGCGGCGCTTACCGCTGGGAGCGGAGGAAGCTGGCGCTGCAAACGTCAGCGGTACTGCCAGCAGCAGCAGCAGCAGCAGCGACAGCAACAGAAACAGCAACAGCAACGGCGCCGTCGACTTAGTTAGCCCCAGTACCAGTTAAACCTGATTACGTTTGGCTGCTGCTGCTGCTTCCACGCTGACGCCGCGGCGTCGCCTTCGTATGATTCGATAGATTCTTATAAACCTTATGAAACGCCAAAGCCAGCGCCAAAGCCAAACCAAAAGCAAAGCCAAAGCCAAAGCAAAGGGAGCAGTCAAATTCCAACGTTGCCTTTATCGCCCCAATGACGCTGCGCAGCGTATCCGATCGCCGAACTCCATCAAAAAATCAAGTGACTTTACCTCAATACATATATACATACATGTATGCATGTTTTTGGTTGATTGAATCGATTCTAACGCATGGGTTTCACAGGCTAAGAGATATCCTTAAGCCCGATGTTAATAGACACGACATACGTAGGGTGATCATCCGTCCTGGAGTTCCGGGACATGTCCCGCCTTTGGAGGTAATATACCGGTGTCCCGACCTGATTTGCATGCGCAAATTTCGAAAGGGTTTTTTTCCTTTGTTGGCAGTCTCGGAATGAGCTCCGACCCAGATGGGCACCCTAGACATGGTTTAAAATCATCCAATAATTTGCACATACACATATGTACATACACATACATACGGTAACAATTGTCAAAAGTTAAGTTCTTTGTAAAATGAGACTCAAGTTTATAGAGTAATTGGCTTAAAATTGATAGCCGCAAGAAATGGGATAACATAACTAAAATGTATTATCATCAAAAATGTTAAAATCGCCGTAGCTCTAACTACTTAAGGACTCTTTACATTTAACGATTCTTTCACTTAAAGACTTAAGTAAGAAATCAAAACTCAAATAATAATTTTTAAAAATGTACATATGTCGATTTTTTTTTTTTTTTTTTTTTTTTTTTTTTGTAGGTTAGATTAGTCCATAAACAAGGATCGTAGCCGGATACTCCCGAATGGAGCATTTATTTTTGCTTTAAATAATTACGGACGCAACATGGACATTTACCATGTTTGAACTGCTGCAAAATAAGTTTTCATTTTATGAGAACTCCTTTGTGAAGACGAAGGAACAGTGATCTGTATACATACACATTCCTTAATACATCCCGATCCCGATTCTGTCCGAGTCGCTTTCGCTACAATTCCAGGAATTGTGTTCTCTTTTTTTCGTTTTTTTCTGATGTGGAGGGAATAACATTATCGTCTTGTTCAATGTGCTCGGCGCCATCATTAAAAAAAACCTGTCCCCGTTTGGTATCGGGAAGTCGATTCACCGACAACAGACGAAACACAAGCGAAATGCGCTGACGGTGCTGCTGCTGCTGCTGCGAGTCTCGGAACAGTCGAACAGGTAAACACAGCACGATCCATTCTGCCGTGCCTCCAAGAGCCTGTTTACCTTTGCCGTCGTGCATCAGGGAGGTCCACGCTTTTTTTTTTAACATGCACATTAAAGGCAAATGGAAGAAGAAGCAAACGGTTGTTGCTCGAAACAAAAAGTATTTGCTATTAACAGTAATTGGTTTTATGTTACGAAGACGATGTACATGCATCTGAATATATCCGTTCATTGCTATGAATGCATTCACACACATACACACATACAATATGTATGTATGCACCCACTGCATCGACAAAACGGTTAATAATAGGGTATTTCGAAAAACAAAGCATTGAGGCAGCTCATAAAAAATAATCGAATAATTCATCTTCAACGAGTAGAGACCTCTGAATCTAGTTATCTGTCTGAAATCCAACTAACCAACATTTTTAGAAAATAACTAATATCTAAAGTCCAATATTAAAGACACTTTAGATACATTTAGGATATAAAAACAAGATACATACACATATTAGATATACGTATATAAGATATCAGATAGACATATGCGTATAAAATTGAATCATATATATTATAGAATGGTCCAAGACTAGAAGATCCCCTGAATCCTGAATCTATATAAATATATTTAGGTTTTCGTAATGGCTTATCATTATTTACGAGAAAACAATGAATCTGAAAACTTTGCTATTTCAGGCTTGTCGCAAAATTAGTAGCATTTTGCGCGATAGTTTTATTTCCTGGCGCCAAGTTCTAAATTTATAGAACAATTTCGACGCTGTTGTGTCGGTTGATCTGGCATACATAATATATGCACATATATACATGCACATACATATGTATATGCATAAATAGAGAGAAGTGTCTTTCCTCTCGAGATAGAAATACTTTCGCTTCAAAGGGTTGAAATATTTAACCTCGTTGCAAAATCAACTTCATGAGTATTTCACGTACTACAGCACGACTCATATCAAATATTAACGTCATATTTATAGGATATAGATAAATCAATATTGAACTAATCTATAATGATATAGATTTAGCGACGCCATCAGTTCACAATAAACTTATATCCTTTTCAAAGTATATCGCTTTAAGGGCTGTAGAATTGGAGAAGATATATCTACAATCGCGTCAGAATCGAAATTCCACATTAAGTACGGCGATTTAGTCTATAGTATTTACTAGGTCTCACGTCTATTGTAAGGACTTCTGGTATTAGTATATAAAGAGCATTTTGTTATTCCTGATATTCTGTTTTATTTCAGGGATTTTTAGTTCAACACAATTCATAAATATTTTCATATAGATTTATTGGCCTACCTGAATCGATTGGATAGTTTATCCGATACCAGTGCAGTGGATTGCAGCAGATATAGACGGAGTCCCGAGCACTGGGGCAAGTGGGCAGACGCCTTAGCTCGCCGGCATCCATGAGGTCGGACCAAAGAAAAAGCTGGCACGTGGTCACATGTTGCCCCTTGTCGATGGGCAAGCTGCACTTGATTAGGATGCACTGCAGATAGCTCGACGTGTCTGGCGGGTCGCGCTTGTGAGGCGGATCCACGCGACTTCTTACGGCCTGGAGTAGATCGGCTATCTGTTTGCTCTTGAGCTTCTTTAGCAATGCATCGAAGTTTTGGTGCACCGTCTCTAGACGCAAGGCTGTCGCTGACATTGACCCGGCCCCGGCTGGGGACAACGTGGGCGACTGGGTATGCATTGGGCAGGTGGGTGTGGATGAGGCTGTGCGCTGTCGGCTCTGACTGTGGCGTTTGCTCTGCACCGGGTTCGCTTTCGAAAAGAATCTGTTCCCGAAGTCTGTCGTCGTCCCGCTGCTGCTGTTGCTGCTGCTGCTGCTGTCTCCGCCGCCGCCACAGCAGTTGCGAAACATCTTCGCCGCTGTCGTGGCAAAGGTAGCCGCGGCTGTCGTTGAATGTGCATTGGAACAAGCCGGCATCGGCATCGGCATCGGCACAGCCGCCGACATCGGTAGAGCCCACTCCGGACAGAACCTGTTTTCGTCGACCAACATGCCGGCGCCAGAGCTTGCGTAACTGCATCCATCTTTTATATAGGAATAGTTCGATTCTTCGGTCGCCGAGGCGGACACGGAAATGTCTTCTTGCCCACTTGGGTGGCACATCAGCTGCAGCTGGGGCTGGTTGTGGGTGGGGCGATAGGAGCCTGAGCAGTCTATGGAGGGTATTGAACTGTACGGTGGTGGGGACGGGCTGTTCGGCTGCCGCATCATCATCAGCGAAGACTGATCCGCGTAGCAGCAACAGAAGCTGCCGCAACTCTGAAGGTGGCGTTGATGTGGAGGGTGCAGCGGCTGTTGTTGCTGCATGGGTGTCGGTATCCCATCCGCATCGCACGTAGCCGGGTTGTTTCTTGACGCATAACGCCATAGTTTTTTTTTCTTTTCGCTTTGGAATATCATGGAGGGACATCAATTCTTTTGGTAACATCGATATTATCGAATGTGCATTATTTGAGTTAATCAACTTTATTCAGACGCACTCATAGGGCTCGACTCGGTCGACGACTCGATTGCTTTGTGATATGTGCGGTGGGCTAGTATTCGGGCTGAGTCTGACTTCCTTCCAATTACAGTTAACGTTAACTCATGTGCATCTATGATTGCATATGTACAATAAATACATATAATTATTATTATACGTATTGACTAGGCTTGGCTTGGCGGTAAAGTCGAATTCCTTTGTATCACTCGAGAGATTTTAGCTATGATATGATTTTGGTGGTGTTTCGATTGCTTTGATATGCACTCTGCAAAAATTAAAAAATGAGAAAATATTTCCATTAATATTCATTAATTAAAAATCAAGCAGTATATTTTCGGTCTACCGAAAATTATGGTAAACAGTAGTATATCCTTAATAATTTTAATGTATGCTTATGTTTAAGTGTCCATTCGCTGTGCAGTATTTTTGTTATCATCGTTCTTTCAAAATTTTCAACTTGGGATACAAAGCAACTTCAAGATCAGAATGAACTTTAAATACGTAGATATATCATCAAATCAAATCTAAACTATATTTATGATTTTTTTTATAAAGTAATTATGTCTACACCAAAATAAGGGTCAAAGTTTTGTTTTTTGTTAAATTATATTCTATCAGTACATATGTAAATATGTATATTAAGACTTATTCTATCAAATCTTTACATTAGCCAATCAATACTCATGAATCAAATATTTAAGAAAACTAAGTGAGTTTAATTTTCAGAAAAAAACTAACCTAATTGTTTTTATTGAAGCATTAAAATAAAACAAGTAAGAACGTTGCAGTCGGGCATTACCGACTGCGGAATACTCATTCATATCACAATATTATAGAAAATGCAGTTTTTCTTGATTTGCCACGCCCCTACTGGGCATAGACACATCATTTTGGGTTAGCTAACAGTAACCTAACTGCAAAATTTGGATGCTTACGCTCTGAAAATGTGAGAATTACAAGGTATTTTTCAATATGCCACGCCCCTAAAAAGGCGTAACAATTTTTGGCTCATCGATAGAGGAGGTTACTAGTAACTTAACTATCCATATTTCAAGATTCTTGCTTTTATTGTTTCGGAGATATAAACTGTTCTGGTTTGTCACGCATCTGTAGGCGGACACATATCCGATTTAGCTCTATTCCTATCCTATCCTATTGAAAAAATCACTATATCTTCAGGTCCGATTTGCCACGCCCCTAGTGGGCGTAGACATTTAATTTTTCACTAATCTTTATGGATTCATAATATTAGCTCACGTGCAAAATGTCAACGTTCTAGCTTTAGAACTCTAGGAGATACAGTTTTATCCGATTTGCCACGCCCTTAATGGGCGTATATACATCCACCGCAGCTCATGATCTTAAGTGGTCAACGCGGATCTACATTCTAAATTTCAGCTTTCTAGCTCTTCAGCTAATATGATTTCTGGCATATTGGAAAATGCATTTTCTGATATGCCACATGCCCACATGCATTTGCACATATACATATGTACATAGTAAAAGTGCTTGCCACGTGCGTTTGCTAATTGGCCAAACGTTTTGCTTAATACAATACTTAATGACACTTAAAGAAAATTTTAGTACTTATATGATCTACATATGTATGTACATAAGTATATACTTATTGTAATGAATATTTGACTTTTTTTGAAAAGAGCGAAATCATTCCCAGTTATATATATATATGTATGTATATACATTTGCAACGGACATAGATTTTATAAAAATGACAAATCTTTAGCTTTTATAGGTTATATATTTTTATTATTATTGAATATTACATATTTTTTTTTTAGGAATTACAGCTGGTTCAATAAAATATGGTTCAAACTCTAAAAAAAAATTATTTACAAGTCCTCATGTCAACATCGCATTCAAAAAACACACACAAACACACACATTTATTCACGAATTGATATCAAATTATCATATCATATTGAAACAAATAAATACACAGTTCTTTTTAAAATATAGTTTAATAAATAATTAATATTACCGTATTTAAATTTGACTTATTTTGTTATTTATACATACATACATAAATTCATATTAAGTCCATCCCTTTACGGAAGAAAACTTTTTGGGGCACTGTATATGTAAACATTTTCCAAATAAAAGTCTCAATCTTTTTTCTAGCGGCGAAATACTTTACAAATCAGATATTGCAAAAAATCTAATCTACTTTTCCATTTCGTGAACGAGTATAAAAACTAAAATAAAATGAATAGACGAAAAACTTATCTGGGGTTAAGCGCTCTGCTTTTACAAACATTTGTATGTATGAATGTATGTATGTACATATGTACATTCATTTGCACACAGACACACATACATACCCATCAGAGAGCTTCCGGTTCTTTGCCAGGTACTCTAGAATAGTACCTTAAATTGAAAGCATTGACCACCTGCATACAAGCATACATACATATGCATATTGTTGAAATGGGCATGAGCGCATACATGTATGTAAGTATGCTTTTTTTTTGAAAATGCATGAAATTGCCTGATGTGTGTATGTATGTAAATTATGTCATGCACACTACTCGAGATGCATACATACGTACACACACAATAAAGTATTGTATGTGTATGTGATTAGCTCTTATCAGAGCTTAAAAAGCACAAACGCGCCGCACAACTAGCGAATCCAAGGCGCATGAGTAATATGCCGATCGCAGTGACGGCGTCGGGCTGCGCAGCATCACTGCCTGGCGCTGACTCTGGCGCTGGCAGCGCTGGCAGCGACCGCTGCAAGTAACAACCCAAATACAAAACTGTGGCCCCTACGACCATTTTGTTGCTGGTTGACTGGCTCGCTGGCATTTCTTGTGCTCCTTATCGCGACGACAACAGTGGCGCCGCCGACTTGACGGCACGACTACACGCTCAGCCGAACACACACACACACGCATGCATACATATATGTGTGCATACATGTATGTATGTACATACATACGTACAAATGTTCATATGCATACATACACACACACAAATGTATTGAATTTACTTGCTCGCTTGCGTGCCAGCCAGAGGCAAAAGCAAAAGCAAAGGCAAAGGCAGGGTAACAACGCGACGAGACGAGACGAGACTCAATGAGGCACAGGCGCCACAGTGGGCGCCACTGACGTAAACGTAATAAAAGAAATAATAGTAACGATGTCGGCGGCGGCGTCGTCGCAATGGCGCCACCAATATAAACTTATATCAGACAGACACGAAACAACGACAGCGCCAGAAACAACAACAACAACACAACAACGATACTGTAGACCGACGCGTCGGTCGGTCGGTTGGTCGCTCGCTCGGTCGTTTTGTCAGCCGGTTTGACAAGTTGGAAGAATCAAAAATCTGAGGTGAATTCGAACGAGCGAGAGCACAGAGCAAGTGCACAAGAGAGCATCGGTTCAGTGTGTGTGTGCGTGTACATGTATGTATATGTGTGTATAAATACATTGTATAGATGTATGCATACATGGACGTGTGGGTGTATGTGTGTGTGTCTATAGGTGGCAAAGAAATAACACATTTCCGAATTCTTTTGAAAATTCAACAAGTATAAAAATCTAGTATTGGAATAGTATGCGCAATGTGGAGCAGCGGAGGAGCAAGGATGTCCGGGAATATTGTTATAAACAGTAGGCAAATGCCTCTTTAAATACATACATATATTTTTCTTTATTATTTATACGTATGCCCGCACTAGTTCGTGGAAAATCGCTGGCACATAACCATGCACATCTGTGAAATATATGCGCATACACCTGCTGACGGCGCTATCATCAATGCTGATGGATGCCATTCAAGTAGGTGAAATATTGTTGTTTATAAGTAAATTGCAATGTCGCCGGCAAGTGTTACAGTGCGTCGGAGCAGAATTGGTATAATAATCAAGCGAAATTACACAGGAGAGGTATTTTCCAGTTGAATTTCCGTTTGCAGTTCGAAGAATGTGTGGGATGTGATTAAAAAACATCTTAACAAAATCACTATGTATGTAAGTATGTAACGTTCATACCATCCGAGTCTCTAATTTGCCTCTAATTAGTCAGATCTACTTAAAACCATTTTCATTCAAGTCACCTTTATGGCAGGGCAGAATTCAGAACGGATAAAGATTTGAGCTTTAGAATTACTAATTGATGTATATGCCTATGTATTAATATATATATAGTACTACATAAAATATTTGTATATACTTACTTCATTGATGTGGTTATTATTCCATTATATCCTTTAAGGCTTATTGTATAAATCACACCAATTTTACGTTGATTATGTTGGTGTATTGCAATTTGTTGATATGTATGAGGGTTTCATTCACATTTATTTAACGATTCACATTGCGATTATTGATATTAAATCGTAATTATTCTTCACTACTGAAACTGTTTCGATTTAAAACACGCGGTGTCGATATTGATTTATTATTTTTCGTAAGCACTAATCGAGTTGTCAGCATTATTTGATGGCCTACTGTTTACATAAATACAAACATACATACATGCATGCATACATATATACACATATAGCCTCATATCTCTCTCATTAAGAGCATTGTTTTGGTTTTCGAAGGAACTGGAATTTATATCTGATGGAGGGAATGATGTTAATCAAATAATAATTCTTATGGCTTAGAAGATTGTTTTACACTGGATTTCAGCTAAAGGCGAACAGCTATGAATATTTTTTAATTTTCTTGCAAAATATGTGATTATAGTACTAAATATTTGCTCATATTTTTAATATTATACATATATTGTTTCGGACTAGACAATTTATTCTATTAGTGCTCCAAATCTTGTTATATAAGATTGTTTACACATATATATGGCATATATCGTGTTCTGCAGCATAAAAGATAATGTATTCTAACACTGAATAAATACTTTATATTCAGTATATACACATATACATATATATATATATATATATATATATATATATATATATATATATATATATATATATATATATATATATATATATATAATCAGAAGCACGGAATATCCATATCTAAAGAACTAAATAGTATCGAAGTTCATAGAACACTCATTATTAATAAATACACAATAATATTTAACATACATACACATATATATGTCTGTATGTTGATTTGTAGTGAATATAGAATGTAAATATGTATGTATTTTTGCTCACAACGTATCCACGTATTATCGGTTGCTTGAAGCATTGATCAATCAATGGAAGACGTAAGTATTTTCTATGTATGTACGTATGTATTTATGTATCTTGCGTTACGTTACGTTCGTTAGCAGTCGTCACGCATATTTCAATGGTAAATGCGAGTTACGTACGCACACCTCTTTTTGTTTATTGATCAATATTTCTTACTTCGCACTTTTTGTGTGCCGTTATTCCACTTGAATATATATTTTGATACGGCTTACACATGTGAACGGTGACGGCGACGGCGACGAATTTGTGTTTGCTCGTCACTTAATACACTCAATCTTTCATTTCACTTTTCGCTTGCACAATGCTCGAATATAGGGGAGAACTAAGAAATATGTCCAAAATAATATAGATCAGCATAGAACGCGAACGCTGTGAAAAAGCAACTGCCGCTGGACTATGTATTTAGCATTTATTTGTTGGTTACGCCCGCGTAACAAAAAATGTTCGGATAGCAACCGAAAAATACCACGTCCGCTCACAACGAAAGTTTCTTGCGATTTGAGACAACATGCATATGTGTGTTTTAGTATCTGACGAATGTGTGGTGAGTTTGTCAACGCTCTCTCTCTCGCATACGGCGACGCTCGCCACACTAACACAAATGCACTTGCCACTAACTTGAAGTTGGCCGTACGCAATTTTTGACTCGCTTGAAGTTGGCTGCGCGCGAAATTCAGTTGCGTTATTTTGAGCGCAAGATGCAGTTGAACATGATATTAAAATGTTAATTTAACACAAATATAAATAATATAATAATACATATAATAATATATTATATAATACATACGTAATTAAACTCATATTGCAATGTTTGTATTTAACTTAATAATTTAAGAAATTATGATTATTTTTGAATTTAATCGCTATAACCAAAATTAATAATTCACATATATGTACCTGTTAAGAAAAATGAGTAATTTTCAATCGTTGTGAACATATGTATATAGAACTATGCAAAAAGGCATGATGTGCATTATAGATCCGATCAAGAATGTGTATCGTTTAAGTCTTTCCGATGATCAGTGCACCTCTATACACAGATAGACATACACAAGTATAAATAGAGAGAAAGAGAGAGAGAGAGATAGGGAGACAGAGAGCAAGAGAGAGAGAGAGAAAGTTGAGTTCCAAGGGAGATCAAAAAAGTATTGGAGAGCGTGTTGGCCAGCTCCAGCAGAGATAATTGTTTAGGGCTTGGACGACTTGAGAACATAAAAGCAAATAGGCTGCTGTCATTACGATAATAACAGGTCGGAACCGCAGGGTCTCGATGACTGTGGGATGGCAGCGGAAGACGAAGACTGACTCACCTGACGACAGAATATAATACCTAAGAGATTCAAGAAGTTGTTCAGGATGCGATGAATTAGAATATTGACAACGTATAGATTTTGTATAATTAACTATTTCTATACTTACTTTATTTGGTAGGATGTTTTAAATATACAAAATATAAATAATATGTAAACATGATTATAATTTATACTATATATTATGGAGAATCGAAATTTGAAAATAGAATCCAGTTGAAATCTAAGAATAAAAATATTTAGAGGATACATCAATCAAAACAGCTTAAAAATCCATTGTATCACAGCTTTGCGGGTTTTATAATTAAAAAGTATGTCACATAACTAATACAGAAGAATCCGGCTATAATGACTCCGTTTATAGCGTCTGTGCGTTTATAGCGACGAAAATTCTGGTCACCTGAAAAACTTTTAAAAGGAAACTTATACGGTTATAGCGCTTTCTGGGTATAACGAAGGGCCCTTGAGAGTCGTTATAACCGGATTCTACTGTATATATTGCAAACTATTATATCCATAGACAGTTGACTTAGAACGATGCAACTTATACCGACATATTCCAAATCAATATATCTGAAAAGTATATTTGAGATTTTATCTCCTTCTCTTTCGATATGAAGTGATATTGAAACTAAAGACTTTTTTAAGATCATGAATGTGTATAACAAAGGACATAATCTTCTGCAGATCAACTTAAATATATAAAATCTATATATCTTTTGGTAGACATGGAGCATTCCATCTCCACACGCGATTTGTACTTCCATGGGTGGTCGAAAGCACATGATGCACAATTGGGCATCTTCCTTGAGATGAGCGCAATTAGGAGGCTAAAGCTAATAAGATATCATCAGCGCACTACAGTCAAAGCAAACTTGTTAAAAACCCATTAAAGAGCAGAGGCAAGCAACACAGAAGAGACAGGAGAGGAGGAGGGAAGCACTCGCAGTTGCATTCGCAGTCGCCGTATCCATTGCGGTCAAAGTCAGAATATCACGTCAGAGTAAGAGGTATAAACCTGTTTTAGCTGACACAGCGTCATTATCATCATATTCATATTTATCATCGTTAGCATATTCCTGCACAGGGTACACTGCTACTTCGTCTCGGATTTCACGATTGTGGATACGTTTTACTCGTGTATCTTGGAGATAGAGACGGATGAGCACAGTGCCGAACACAAAATGAATCAACACAGAGTGTCCTTCTTCATCAGTCGATCGATCCGACCCATAAGTATTCAATGAGATCTAAAAGATCTTAAAAATATCCCACGAGCGGAAAGGCCATCAATACGTAGGAAATATTAAACCATACATACATAGAAGGAAGAAAGCTAAATTATATTTGTACATATTTATCTAATAAAGTGTTGAGATATATCAGTCAGTAATATAAGCATTTCTCACAACAAACTTTTATAAAAAAAAAAAAAAAAAAAAAAAAAAATATGTAGATTCCTACATAAGATTCAGGATTCCTACATAAGGCACTCCTGTTAAGGGCGTGGTAAATTAGAATAATATATTGTTTAGAAATTGAATGACCTATAGAAGAGGTCTATTCTATCAACTTAATAATTACTTGTAAATATATCTAAAAAAAAATTATATCTTTAAAAGTGTTTGATAGAGACCTAAAAAATATTTACAGATAATTAACTTTTGTGCTTCACAGTAATCGGTGTTTCAAGTTCTACAGAATGTCATATCTCAAAATTCATTTATAGGTATATTTTAGATGTACAAAAATCATAGTAGAATTATTATAGTTAGGAATAGACACTAGTAAATGAGGAATTTGAGTATATTTTTATTTATTTATTTATGAGTTTGCACTTTCATTAGACTCTGATATGTGTTTCATCGCCCTTAGTCTCACTTACCAAATTAACCAAACACACTTTTGAATTTTCGAATTTTAAATATTTGATTAGTTTGTAAACATGTGCATTAAGGCGTTCATTCGATGCTTCACTGTACTATTTGCCGTACACCATCTTGGAACCGCGATATTTTGAAATTTTAGGTGCTCAACGGAAAGTTCAGTGAGACTCGTTTGCGATTGGTAGCGAAGGGATATATCCTTTAGTCGGCGCACAAGGGACTAGTGTGTCCTGCGGCATGATTCCTTGCGAACTAAATGCCAGCCGTGTACGCGTTTATCCTTTTATATGCCTCGGCCAGTGCGCACTTGGGACCACTGCGCAGAGCATTCTGCAGACTGACGCAGACGGCGTCAAAAGAACCGTTCAACAAGGCGCCGTCGCCGCAGCCAAAACGTCCTGATTTCTGACTCATTGTCACATATTTACTTCCGAATGTTTATATGTATATATATGTAAGAGAAATACTAATATATGAAGCTTTTTTTTACAGATATTTCTTACCAAAAATTTAAATATATTTACTTAATATATTCTATGAATATTGAATTTATTATAATTATTTTATATATAGAAATACGAATTTCGGACTCAAAAACAGGATATTTTATTATTATTATTATTATTATTTTATTTTTTATTTACTTATTTTTTAATTTCCTTATTAAACAGAGTGAATTATTTTTATATATGATGTAAAAGATTTGAGGATAAAATTTTGTTGAAATTTCAAACATTTGTTGAGTAATTTTTTATTTAATGATTCTCATGATTTACAGTACTATAGTTTATTTTACAGTAATGTTTTGTCTGCTATGTCAACGTAACTTTTCCTTTCTTTTTTTTTTAAATTTTGTAATCGAAGATGCGGGGTCCTTAGATTAATAACAAAACATGATGCAACTATGAGGTAGTACTTCGATCGTGTGGTTTATTATTATTGAATATTATTTATTAAATAAACTATAAATGTATATAATATATGATTTATTATTGGATTAATTGGTTTGAATGTCCGCATGTGCGCATTTAATATATACTTGGTTCTGCATTGAGAGGCAATGGGTTTGTCATAAGGCTGACCGAATAGCACGCAAAATGAATTGAAATCAAAGCATGGAAGCGTATTAGAATGGGATACTCCTCAAAAACTGAGCTGAGCAATAGAAAATAAATTTGTACTAGCTGGCGACACTTCGCTTCTGGTCCCCATGGCGCTGAATCTTAAACCTATTCTGTATCTGTATCTGCGCCCAGTTTAGTTGTCGAATGTTGGCTGCCGGTCTGCCGCTCTGCCGGCTCCAGCAACATTGGCGGCAACCGCGTTGGCGACGGTAACACAGACGGCGACTGGCGGCCGAAGTCAACTAAACAACGCCAGCCATAACAACAGCAACAACAAGAGCGCCGTGGTCGCCACTGCCCGACTCGGAGATACCCTCACTACTGTCATTCAAAATATTGTATACAATGGCATACACACGATAATTAGACCCCTTAAGATATTCCAGGAATCCATTTGACAAATGCGTTATTAATTGACTTACATACAAGTTTTCCAACTTTATTGAATGTTAAAAGTATGAACATGCCTATGCATTTATATAAATGAGCCAAAGCACGTATTTAATAGCGAGTGGAAGGAAATATCTCAGTAGAGCCCATACATTTTCCAATGTACTTCAAGGATCCTAAAAGTATCAATCTAATAAGATGTGTATTTAATAATATATATAAGCAACACCTTTCCGAGATTGAGGGGGCCAGACAAACATCCAGGCAGACTCGTTTCTCTCATCAAGAATTTATATGCACTTTGTCCCTGTTGCGTGCATTTTAATAGAAACAATATACCCTGTCATCGGATTTTTAATGGGTTCAGGGCATAATAACAGCAACAATAACACAGTCATAACGACAACCCCCTAAAGAGAGAAATGCCTGCGTCCATCCTTGGCGTCGCATTGGCAAAGAGCCCTTCCAGCAGCTCCATGTGTCGACTGCTAACCGTGGAGCAGTGCGCGCTAAGATGCTTGACCCGAGCCTCGGACATATTTTAAGCTAATTAGCTGTCGTTGCCTAATACATGTACTAGTATAATTAAAGCGGCCATCTGCTTAAATACGGCTAGTCTCTATGCCTTATGCAGGGATAGTTTGGTCATCATCCTTTGCCTCTTCGTACCACTGTGCTCGACAATTCGGTGAGACGCGACAAAGAAGAATGTCGCCGCGTCAGGGACTTAATCATGCCACAAAGAGTCGCCTTACTTTTGGAAAAATTTCAAAACAATAACCGATCACAAAATCACACTTAGCAAATCGAACAAATTATTTGTACTTAATGTAATAGCTAAAAGCCGTCGTGAAAGTGCGTCTCGCCTCGTTAGCCTTAAGCTCATTAATTTAATCTACTTTTATAATGATGGCCTAGTATTGTAGGGCTGATTATGCTGGAATCTCAACATATGTAATTTTCAAATGTATTCACAAAGTAAAAGGAGTATGGAAATGATTCGTCTGAATGTGACCTGACCTATTAAGCTTTTGAGATTGTACAAAATCTGAAATAGCATTTTGATGAGTGATATGATTATCGCAAATTTCCAAAATCAATCCACAATTTGCAATGATTCGAATTTGGAGTCCTGCTAACGGTTTATGGTTTATAAGACGCCAGAGTGCGTAACAAGTGTCGACAGCTTCGGAAGTTGTTTCAAAGCTCAGAATCGACGACGTCGCCGCGACGACGCTGACTGCGGACCGCTGCGAAAGCGTCAGCGCTAGCGCCAGCGACGACCATAGCGACGACAACTTGTCGGCATATTCTTTTTTCTCAATGAAGTGAGCCACACACGCACACACATATACCCACACACACACACACACACACACAGAATCATGTCGATACACAGACACGCTCAGACTGAGCATACAGCAGCCACAGCTAGATACGGCTAGCACTTGTGGCGACGATTCACCCCGTCCCACTGTACGGCTGGCGCGACAGTGGGTGCGAGTGAATAGTGCGACCTAGAGCTTGGCCAAGTATCCAGAGACATACAGTGTACGTGACTGTGTATGTGTGTGTGCACTCATAAGGACGAGCAGGGCAAAAAAGACACGGATACTCATATGCACAACTTTGATTTCCAAGCAGTAACTGGCGGCAGGGCGCACGCGAATTGGGCGCCATTATTGCCACCATTGTCGCGACAAATGCCGCTGTTATCTCCAATTAGAGGCGAAAATAGTTGTGGCGTCGATGATGACGAGTTGAGTTCAATTTTTGGGGTGACGAAGGTGGAGAAGACTTGATACTCCTCGAATAGATGCGACACCTAACAAGGCAAATTAACAGTAGATAGCTGCTATCTAACAGTAGGCAGATTAGCAAAATGGGTTTTTTACAGTTAAAAACGTTGCAGTCGGTCCAAAGAAAACGTCTCATTAATTACAGAATTATGGCACTTAACAAATCTGTTTTGGCATGCGTAATTCACATATTGTTAACCAAAAATCACAAATTGTTAACCAAAAAATACGTTTGATACCCACTAAATACTTTTCGGATTTCATAGGAAATTTCATTGAATTTTGTATAGTTCTTATTTAAAATTCAGAGCAATGTTGAAATATAGAATAAGAAACGTATATATTGTGTATTTCTAAAGACAATTTATAAAATTCTCTCAATGCTCGTTGTGCAATCAAAGTAGTAATGAAATTATTTAATAGAAATATTTATTTATTGAATGTGACAAATGATAAGATTTTTGTTTTCTTAATAATATTTCACGCCAAGTACATTATTTGCTTTGATCTGTTTTTATAAAGATTAAAAAATGTATTCCTTAAACATCATGGTGCTATAAATACATGAGTATACGCAAATATGCATCATACCTATTGTATCATACGCAATATATCATCCACTTAATCTGTAATTTAATTGTGAAAAGCCGACCTATAAGTGTTTCTTTCTTTCTTTCTTCTTAAAAATGAATCGAGTTATAAAAATGAATAAAGAAGCACGTAATTAAAGTAAATGAAACTTAAAGTATGACACGAAAAACACATACAAATCGATACTCGTGTTTAAATTATTGAAATAGATACAAATATAAATCATCTAAAAAGATTTGTCAGTTTAGAGAATGACGGAGGTTGAAAACAAATTTAGTCCGTGTTTTTTTGTTGCTTTTCTTTTTGTATATATTTCTAAAAAAAACAGAAATGAGCAATTATGTGCTGTTACAATTCTGCTTACATTTTAGGCTCTTTTAAATACACAAAATGTATCACAATTTTGAATATTTGTTGTAATAGAAACTTTTATGTATATATTATATATATATAAAATTGTATGCATGTGAGACAACGTTGCATTGTGTTTAAAGGGGTTTACCTTAATTTAATTCATAAAAAAACAAAAAAAAAATACATTCTCCAATGCAATTCAAGTCTGATATTTACAAAGTACCAAAATTAGATAAAAAGTTACTAATAAAAATTTGACATAAATAATGAAAGAGTGGAACAAATTAAAATGAATTCATTAAATTGTCAAAAGTACAATAAATATATGTATATATATATGTATATTTTAAATTTGAAATAGTTTAATTATAGGCAATTTTGAATTACTCACAAATGTAACTTATGAAAATCAGCCAAGTAAACAATTTAACAGGTCTCAATAAAATATAGATGTCGACAATCATTCACTATTAAATACAGAATGGCATATATACAATGAGCAAAATCTTTAATGCCATAACAAAGTATTTGGATCCTTGAAGTGAACAAATACGTTTGATGAAAACAACGTTAATTTTTGTTTGTTGTTTTTGCAGTTGCTTACATGGTTAACTAATTTTTACGAGTACTTTTATATTTTGTTTCGCGTTTCATTATATATATGAGCTCTGCTGGTGATATATGTACATGTATGTGTGTGTGTGAATGAATTTCTTTTACAAATTGTGCGCGTTTCTCATAATGTATATGTAAAATCAAACAATACAGCACAATGCATTTTTTAAACATATATATTAACTGCTGAATAAGACATTAATGTCAGACCTCATACATGGGAGTTTTTGTTATTTTCTATTATGACTTTCTCATCCCAAAATTAGTTTAAAAAAAAGGAATAATGCCTGCGTTTAATTAATTTGATGTTTAGCTTGCGTAATTAAAGCTAGAAGCGCATCTAGTTTCAAGTCTTTGAAACGCGCAAAGTGATTCATCATTGGTTGAATCGCATCTGACTCAATAGCCGCCGAGATGGTTTGATTCTGAATGGTGCGATTAAGACAGGATGCAACCTGCGCAAGAAACTCACGCCACTTTTGTCGGCTCTCCTCGGTAAGCGTTGAGTCGGTGTTTGAAACGTAGATCGCCTCTACGCGTAGTATCAATCCGACAAGCGACAGAATGCCAAACTAAAAGAATAATGAAATATGTAGCAATCATTGAGCATGGCTGCATAACAGCAAAGCCTGCATACACATACAAGGCATTATATAAACTTACGCGACTACAGAAAATGCCCGACATCTTTTTATCGGTCATGGTAAACGCAGTTGAAATGTTGATAATTGTTTCTAAATTCGCTTCATGTATTTGATTTTTGAATTCCGGATAAAGCGCAAAGAGACAACCGTCCACATCTTCTCGATCTTTCTTAACAACATTTTGCAGTGAACAGAACACTCCGCTCCACACTGTCCAACGTATCGGCTGATCAGCAATAAATGGCATTATGCGGCGTAATAGTATCTGAAGAGTGCAGAAATTCAAGCTATAAGAATGTGCGACACATAAATGTAAACATGCATATCAAATACCTTGCCCTTGCGCACGTTCATCATCGATACAACCTTATTGAAAGTGAGGCCGGCTTTCAGCTTACTCACTAAAACATCGCGCGGCTCAATTTCATAGTTGAATTTGTTCTTAAGCGCTGGATTCATGCTTTGTGGATTATTCGCCTCAGCCGCTCGCTCTTCGGGCGTTTTATTCGCCATCTCGAGTTGCTCCACGGCGGCAATGCGTTCGCTCTCCTTCTTCTTCTTCAATATAATGGTTGCCATTACCTCCGGACTCTCTAGGTCCTCCAACTTGAGCAGATACCTATATAGGGTCTCTATGTGCAGCAAAATATGTCGCGACTTCCGCATGCTGCTCGGCACAAGCACCACCTCGGGTTGGCCCTCATTGTTTTTATCGGAGCTCTGCCTAGTAGCTGACGATGCTGACCCAGTATTGTCCGTGGTTGCGCTGTCGCTGCCCATGATCTCAGCATCAATTATCTTGCGGGGCGCCGTCACACTTCCGTACTGCAACTTGCCCAGAGAGTTTTCAAACTTTAGGGGAGAGAACACATATCCAGAGAGGATGTTGCTGTTGTTGCCACTGTTTGTGATGCCGCTGGTGTTGCTGCTGCTCGTGTTGTCCGAGTTGCGTCTTTCGCGATGCTGTTGCCCGTTGCGAGAGCCATTTTTGTTGCCCAACTGAACCAGAATGAGCTGCGCATGACCTCGCGGCTGCGTCAGTGGATGATTCAGCTGGTTGTCCTTGTGTGCCTGACTGTGACGAACCTGTCCGTTCTTGCGCTCCCTGTACACCGTGTAATAGTAGTCGTCAATGTACGGAGTGTCCGTGTTCAGCTGTGACAGCTGGATGCCAATCAGCCAATGCTTGTCTCGCGTACTCATCAGATTTGCATATTCGTCGAACTCCTCCTGAGGCAGGTTACCGCCGTAACGGTTCATTTGCTGCTGTTGCTGTTGTTGTTGCTGCTGCATCTGCTGCGGAAGCAGCTGCTGCTGCTTTTGGCGATCGCCGGGTCGGCTGAGCTGCTGCTGCTGGCGAGCAGCTGCCGCGTTCTGCAGCAGCGGATGGTTCTGCTGAATTTCCTGAACCAGTCGCATGTTAAACATGTTGTACATCGAGTTGGGTTGCTGATTAAGCAGATTGTGTGGCGGCAGGCGGGGCGGCAACACAGGCATGTAGGCCGCTGAATGCAAGCCAACGGCGCGCATCGCATTGAAGCTGGGATGCATGGCAAAGTTGTTGAGCGCCGTGGGCAGATGTGGATTTGGCAGTGGACGAGGAAAATTGGGCGGCAAAACATGCTGCTGCAATAGGGGATGCTGCGGCAGGTTCGTAGCTAGGCCAGTTGGATACATAAATCCTGGCGGCGCACGATTCCCACTGATTCCATTTAGCTGTTGATGCTGTGGCTGCGGCGTGGGCATTAGACCCGGCCCTGCGCTGGATCCGCCCATCTGATGTGGACCATGAAAACCTATATTTGGCCTTGGCGGCGGCGTTTGAGACGTGGCTAAAAATCCAGGAGGTGCTGAAATAGCAAATAGATATTTTTTAATTTCAATACAGATTCAATTCGGCTTTTAACTGATTAATGCAGGGAAATATTGATATAATATACATTTGCTAGATTATAGCCTAGAACTGTTTTGATAATGATCAAAATTGCACTTTTACCCTAATATGAAATTCAAACTTCGACAATACATTATGTTATTAATAAAATATGTGAATATAAAACATAGGAAATATAATACAAAATAATTCAATATTGCCGAAGTTTACACTCACTGCGTATATAAATGCATATGTACACATACATACATATAATTTATATTAGTCCTCTAAGTGCAATTTTTCCTCTTTATCTAAACAATATGTGCTTGCATGTTTTATTTCTTTATGAAATGTGATTTACCCTTGTGCTGCGGCGGTTGCTTTTGTAGCTGTTGTTGGTGTTGGGCTAATGTTGCCGTTGACACCAAATGCTGCCGATTGATTAAATTCAAATCCTGTTGGGGCAGAGGCTGTGGATGCTGCTGATGTAGTTGTTGTTTGGGCACTGCCTGTTGTATGATCAGATTACGTTCAATGTCTTCGAGTGTTGTGATTTTAGCTGTCGCCGCTGTTGGCATCGGCGGTATCCCAAAATTGGCGTTCGCCTCCTGCAGTGGCTTTATTTGCGTGATTGCCATTACGGCTGCGGATGCGTCTGCCTGCGGCTGGGGCTTAAATGCGCTGCGAAAGTTGTCTCGAAAAAGATTTTGATTGCTGGGCAAGGGGAAGGAGGGTTGGGTAGTCCAAACGCCAGAGTCCAAGTTAATGCGATTGCTTCCATCGCTTTCACCGAACGTACTTAAATCTACATCGTCTAATTTTATTGATGATAAATTTAATTCCAAGTCTAAGTCGTCGATGCTACCGCTCTGAAACCCACGCAACGGCAATTGCTGTTGCCGATTAAGCAAAGCACCGTTACCGCTAGAGTCATGATCTGTAAAGTCTTTGCGAGCTTTTTCGCCGTTGCCGCCAAGTAGGACAAGCGTTTCGTGGGCTTCCTCCCAATCGCCGTTTATGGCAGAGCCGAACGTCTCGTCGTTGAGGGCGTCGTACTCTTCTTCCGGGGGCTCAGCGATTCGCCCGTCGCTGCCATCATCATCCTATACAATATAATAAATATAATTATTGTTGTTAGCACATTTTGATTTATTTAGGCGAAAAAAGCATGGTGGAAAATTAGGTGAATTTTTTCTTTTTCCAGACGATTGCATTTGTGAGAAAAATGAGCCTGCGCTTTATATCTGTTTTCTAGGTACTTCATTATACATTATTCTTCATTAAATTCTCACCGGTATACTTGTAGTTGTATCAAAACCGAAAAACGAATCGTCCATTGCGAATAACTATTTGTTTTATAAAAAATTATCATGACTTGTCAGTCACCATGAATGGCTAAGTTGGGAAGAAGAAGTTCAATATAGTCCACATCATCCACAGGCCACATCTACATTAAAACTATCGATTATACAAACTATCGATTACACACATCGATAAGAATGTTCAAAATTTTTCAGCATAGCTATGTCAGTGATGGTAAGCTGGAGTTTGCAAATGCTAATAATTTTGACGTTAGGGAAGTTAAATGAACATTCTTTACAAGTATTTAATAATTCGGACGATACAATCATCCATGCATTAGATTTTAAATATCATACAAATTTACATCATTTAACCAAAAAAAAAAAGAATCCGTGAACAAATTGTGAAAAACACAAATAAATTTATGGGTATTAAATTTAGTGAATAATTACAATTTTATCAATTAGAAACTACTTATTTAAAGGCGTATAATAAAATTCACATTAACTCTTATCTAACTATATATCCTAATCAAATTTTTTTAGAAAGTAATTTCTATAATACTTATTATTTAAGTGACAATTTGCGTTGCTCGATTTCAAGGAGTTTCTTTTTCAATTCTATTTTTTCCGTCATTAATTGCTCCATGACTGAGTGGTGCCTCTTATTTTCAATTAGTTTCTGTTTATAAAGATTGCAAAATTCATTGAGCGCAATTTGCGTGTTACAAGCAACATCATTAATTACACTTATTCTTTTACTTATTGCCTCCAGTTCCTTTTTAATTGCCTGACTTCCATATTTGGCGCTCTTGCCACTCTGCAAGAAAAGCGGATCAATGTCGATATCAATTTCAGCCTTTGTGTCTTCAGGCTCATAGGCAAATCCCGACACATCTTGAAGTGCACTATGGTCCTCCTCTTCGGGCACAACATCTTCCACATCTTCCATTTCGAATGTCGCATTCGAATTATCCTGTACATCGTCCTCAGACGCATTCATTATTATTTGACTGACATCGTCGTTCAAGCGACATAAGCTGGCTATAGTTTCCTCAGCAGAGCTCAGACCAGTGGCTAGGGGGATATTATGCATTTCGTTTTTCTCCACTTTCTTGATTATGAATCTCTTCCAGTCCTTCAACGCCTGTCGATAACCAAGAATATATAACAATTAGAGGAACAATGCGGGTATCGATAAAGCGTGAACCTCACCTTTCTCCACGTAGCGGCGTCTTTTTGCGGCGGCCCGCTAGCATTCAGCTCGGACGTGAGTTGCTCCCACAACGATTCATATGAGTTACGTGTCTCCCAAGATGGATTTTGCAGCAAAACGGGGTTTTTCTTTATAAATTTCAGTATTATTAGCTCCTGTGTGGGATTCCGAGGTTTACCTCGGTGGCGGTCATTTGACTGAGGCAAGATTTTATACTTTCGATTCTGTGGAGATCCAGTAACATTTGCATTGGGATGCATTCTATTCATGTGTTTGCTTAAGTTTGTTGTTGTAGTTTTGTACGATAGCTTGGCTTTGCATATGTTACATAAGGCGAAGGTGTCATCAACTGCCCTAAAGAAACACCATATTTCACTTGTTTTCCTCTTCATATTGTTATTGTTTAGTGCAATTTACAATCTTCCACAATATTTTTTTTATTATTCGCGACAGTGCTGGTAAGGGCCTGATAGAGTGTTGCAATACAGCCAAAGAAAATGTATGGGGTATTCTGAAAATATTTGATGTTAAATTGAGCGTCTGCTGTGCTGCAATTCAGAATGCATAAGTTAAATAAACGAAACAATCGGTAAAAACTAACCATAATTTATTAAATAAGAAAATGTGTTAAAAATGTATTTCAAAAAGTAGATCAGAGAAGTCTAATATATATATAATGAAGAAGAACAATAAAGCCCTAGTATATTAAATATCATAGTATTTAAAATATCAATTAACACATATGTATATGTTTTCCAAATACTTATATATAGAAATATATATTTATGAAATATCACTATGTTCTATGGCTAGTGGAAATATATAACTGTGTCGAATCACTAGAGCATAAAGCATTATTAATTTTGATTGATTTGGTCACACTACCACCACTTCGCGGTTTTTTCAAAGGTAAATAATTTCGTAGATGAAATGCAAAGCTATGGACAGGGGGATTCGAAAAATGCTATATCTAATCGAGAATGTTCGACTACGAGATCTCCTGAAGCTTGTGAAAAATTCTGCATGAGACTGCAATCAGTGTTGTCACTTTTGGCCTATTTTAGGCTACATCTAGCCTATTGAAAATGAGATTGGGAAGGAATTGCCAGGTATTAGGGAAGACTATGCTATCCTTGTCCATAATAGAACTGTAGAGCAGAAGAAACTTCTGTGTATTTCATCTAATAAATATAAATATTAATGTACATAATCTATTTAGCATATCAACATTTAGCCTCATAAAACATGCATATATACTCGATTTAACACTATAAGTTTTCCTGACTTTCTCACATTCCGTCTGTCTCTCTGCCTAAGGACAGCGAGGGATGAAAAAGATACAGAAGATCATTTAAGTTGTCTATATGTATGCAGCAGTATTGATTTGGTATCCATATTTGAGTACAACGAAGCTAGAATGTCCACAGCAGCATAGAGTGTTCCCATTGACCCTTAAAGCTCGACTGCAACGATTCCTGCGAGGCTCAAAATTTGAGTGAAAGTCGCCCTATATAAAGGGCAGGAGATGTATCAGTTCTTTAGTCGTCCAGACCCTGTGGGGCTCAGCCTTACAGTGCAGTGAGTGTTTTTTTTTTTTATTTTAGGTTTACTTTTTTATTATTTTTTTTAGATTTATTTCAATTAATAATTTTTTTCTTGTTTACTGCAGTGCAGTAAATTGAAATGTGGAATCGTAGAGGAAATACTTGATAGATAATACGTAGAGGCAATTTGTAGAGGCAATACCTAGGGGAAGATGTAATTCTTAGAGTCAATACTTAGAAGAAATACTTGAAATAAAGGGAAATTCAATTGTATACTTCAAATGTGGTAACTCTGGATTTAAAGATGTAAGAGATATAAATTTTTAACTGATTTTCGGAAAGATTTTTAAAATGCAGTAAAAACGGGAGTAGTGTCAGTTTCGGGAAACTAACCCAATCAGCATACTTTTGAAAATTCTCCAGCTCTTCTATATTCTGGGATCGACGCGATCACAATTACGGACAGATCGAGCGTCGGAAAGACAGAAAGGACGAAACCGTCTGAGCTGACGAGCTGCGAGAGACGGCTCTGATCAAGAATATTTATACTTTATGGAGTCTGCCCCGCATCCTTCTGCCTGTTACATATATTTAACAGAACAATTATGCACTCATATCATATTTTCATTGGGCTCAGGGTATAATAAACAAAAATCTAAGGAAAACAAATTTGTTAATTGAATTTTCATATTTAATATTATTACTATCTTATTTATGGATATTGAATCCTCTAGAAATTTTAAATTATTACGCTCTACACTCTTATTTTAAGAGCGTAAACGTCGTCATCACGCATCAGACGCTTCGCTTATGTGTGCGTGTGAATGTGTGCATGTAATGTTTGTCATGTTGGTTCAGTGTATCTCTTAGACTATCACTCCCTAGAGCACTCTTGTTTCTTTCTGTCAGTTTAGTTATTGTCTTAAAATTATATTTGCAATTTATCAAAATTTATTTTGACTTGAACCCCGTTGATAATCAAACTTTCAATGGGTTCTGAATATCTACGAATGTCGTATATTAATGCTGTGTGAATTTGTGAATTAATGTAAACAAAAATTGGCAAATCTTGAGGCACTTATATACATATATACATACGTATTTCATACATTATGTATGTGTATATTATTATAGTATTATGGAATATTAATACTTTTTTGCTGACATTACAGAGCGTAAGCGACACGAAATGAATGGTTGCTGAGCTTCCAAGTACTTATTATCTTTAAATCTGAAAGCTAAGCATTTTCTTAATCTTTGGCATCAAACTAAGAATTTGGCACGTGCGTGTTATGCTGCGCTATGCGGAAGATAATATTCTATCAAATCACGACTGTCACGGCTCGATGATCGTGCGGAAAGAAAGAATATCTTCATCGCTAGCGGGCGTATATATGCGGTGTCAGTGATGAAAGTGCATCAGAGTTAGCTCACTTCGATAACAATGAGGGTAATTACTACGGTCGCCGGGTTACTTTTGCTGGTGATCAGCCCGTCAATGGCGAAGGATCAACCGGCTGGTTGCCCATTTCGTCACTTGGAGTCGTTGGATCTGGGTTCTTCGAAGGCAGAGCTGGAAAAGGCAGACAGACCTAAGCGAAACAGCGAGTTGTATGATGGCTTGGACGATCTGCTGAAGAGCGTTTTGCCCAAGAACAGCATCAGTCCAGGGCTCAGCAGTTGGATAAGCTCGGCCGAACATGATAAACCAGTGCAGCAGCCCATCAAATGCGGCGTTCCTCCCCAGAACTGCTTGAATGATACAAAGAACCTGCACTATCGCAGCATTGACGGCTCGTGCAATAACTTGCTGTATCCCGAGTTCGGCATCGCCACCTCTCGGTATAAGCGTCTTCTGCGGCCTGCGTACGTGCAGAACGGACAGACGGTGCCCAACGCCCGCCTGCTCTCGCTGTCACTGTACGGCGAGAAGACAGTGATGGACAAGTTTCGCACGGTGGCTTCCATGCAGTTCGGCCAGTTCGTCGCTCACGACATCAGCCAGTTGACCACGAGGGGCGCGCCCAGAGACTGTTGCGCTGAGTCACGCCATCCGCAGTGTCAGCCCATAACACTAGCGGCGGGTGGACCCATCGCCTACAATACGGGCAAGTCATGTCTCAGCTTTGCACGCGCCCTATCCGACGCGGACGGCATCTGTCCCAAGAGTGGGCTGCCCTACAGCGAAAAGCTGTCTGTGGTCACAGCCTACTTGGATCTGTCATCGGTCTACGGCAATTCACCGGCGCAAAATCAACGGGTGCGCCGCTTCAAGGGCGGTCAGCTCCGGACAGTGTACGCCAACGGGCAGCAGTGGTTGCCTGTGACGCAGAACCATGAGGGTGAATGTGGCATTAATAGTGAGTGTTACATCATGCCCGACTTACGCAATCGTTTCACGCCGACGATTGCCGTGCTTCATACGATTATGGTGCGGGAGCACAACCGATTGGCGGAGGAGTTGGCCCTGCTGAATCCCCACTACAACGATGAGCGCTTGTACCAGGAAGCTCGCAAGATCAATATTGCTCAGTATCAGAAGATCACATACTACGACTACCTGGTGGCTGTTCTGGGCAGCGCTTACACGAATATGAATGGCCTGACTTACCCCTACTCAGAGTACTCAACTGACTATGTGAACGACTATGACGAGAGCGTTAACCCCAATCCCTACGCTGAGTTTTCAGCTGCTGCCTTCCGTTATTCGCACACTCAGATATCCGGCTGGTTCTCGTAAGTGATAATATTGTGTGTATTTACGTGACACAGATTGACTTTCCACTGAATTGCAGAATGGTTTCGTCTGATCGCTATGCAAATCAGACTCTACGCCTCAGCGACTTCTTTGAGACCCCTGAGACTATTCGTTTGCTGTCCTCGAACTACAATTTCGCTGATTTGGTGCGCGGAATGGCAACGCAACTGCAGAAGCGAGCCGACTCCAATATCGATCGCGAGATCAAGCACTTCTTTAATCGCAAAGTGTTCGAGGAGTTCGGATCCGACCTCAAGTCGTTGGATATCCAACGTGCCCGCGATTTCGGACTTCCATCCTACAATGATCTTCGTGAGTTCTGTGGTCTGCGGCGAGCCCATGAATGGTCGGAATTCGTCACCGAAATACCCAGAGAGGTTCGGCACATTGCATCCAATATAACTAAATGTCAACCAAAGCCTAACAATTCTTTTTGCAGAAAATTAACTTGTTGCGCAAGCTGTATGCCTCCCCAGCCGATGTCGAGCTGAGTGTGGGTGGTACTCTCGAATTCCACGTACCAGGCTCATTGTTTGGCCCCACATTGCAGTGTGTGGTCGGAAAACAGTTCCAAAACACTCGTCGAGGCGATCGCTTCTTCTTTGAACGCGAAAATCATCTCAGTGGCTTCTCGCGCAGTGAGTGTTAACATAAGTACAATAATCGGACTCTCCCTTAATGCTATTCCATGTTTGCATAGGTCAACTGGCGGAGATCCGGAAAATAAGTTTGGCTTCACTGTTCTGCAACAATGTGCAAAGCTTACATTATATCCAGCCAAATGTTTTCATTTTCCCCAATACTCGGTAAGTCACAATCTGCTCATGCCTATTGAATACGAAAATAAAACTCATTTCTTGTGCATTTTCAGCAATATTTTGATAAGCTGCAATGATATTCCTCAACTTGACCTTACCAAATGGCAAGACCTAACTCCCCAACTGGTTAACTAAAGCCATCTTATCAATTAAGTGGGAAGCCTTTAAATATTACTTTGTTGAATAACCAGCTGATAGATAATCAAAACCACTAAAATGATTTCAGCTTCATAATAAATGTTGTTTTTTTTTTTTTTTTTGTAATAAAAGTTAAAATTCCTTAGCCTTGCCCGTAATTATAGCTAATCATTGTATATACTATAATATGGTTTCGATGTGAGGTGAAATGAACACAGAATTTGGGCAGAGATAAGAGCGGTAATGCTGTTATAAGTACTGTGATTCCTGTTTTTTAGAAAAGGTTGATATTTGACAGATATGTATGTCGAGGTTGCTCAACTGGGAAATCCCCTGAATTCTGCAAAGAGCTGATATAAAGCGGGCGTGTTATCCAAAATCTATAAATTACAAAATTGAGTACTATTTACATAGACCTACACACTAAATTTGAATTCTTCTAAATGTCGACTCAGCTTTTCACCCTGATCAAGAATATACTTTATGCGGTCTGCCACTAATTTTTTCTGTCTGATGCATATATTTTCATAAAACCAATATACCCTGACAAAAATAATTACTTTGTAGATATTGATGGAGCTTTCTTTCGAATTATTTATTATACACCACATAAGTGATCAATAAACCTCAATATTTCTTATCGGTTTAGCGGAGCAATCTGCGATTCTAAATGAGCCATTTAGCTAAAATATTTGCAGAAAACATATTTGTTTATAGACTAGATGCTAATTCATGCTAATTGCAAATGGACGAGTCTAAAATGAGGAAAGTTGAAATTAGGCATTTTATGCCAAACAATTGACCTAGTTTAATTGATTTTAGAGATAATGTTGAAGAGTATAAAAGCTTAACCGATTAATACCAGAGAGTCATAACAATATGCGCAGACTAAAAAAGAGCTGATATACATTAGAATATTGCGCAATAGGAACACAAAGACGAAGAACCATTAACTTTCGCTCTGACCTTGCTGCTTCTTTAGCATTTGAATTCCATTGATATGCGCGGATGTGGGCCAACCATATGCCGACGTGCGCCAAGTTGCAAAATTCTTTGTAGTTTTTACGGTAGTCGTAATGGCGAGACGAAAGAAAAATATCGAGCATACCAGGGCTAGCCATAGAAAGTCAATGAGATTTATAGTCGAGCCATTATTAATTTCATCAAAATATAGAGAATAAAGAAACCCAAATAATAGACTGATTTCTCAGTAGATGCGATTAATAACGGTCCCATAGAATCTGGATGATTGAAAGTAAGTTTTTAGCATTTGTATATTGTATGTGCTTGCACGCATTCTTTAGATCAATATAAAAGTATTCGATTCATCGGCCAAAGACAGCATTTGTTTATTCGCCATGACGGTGATCACATTAATCTATTTCTGCTGTGGTAAGCAACAGGAATCGATTACGACGATTAAGAAAAATTAATAGAGTCAACTCTTGTTTTAGGGATATTCGTTGCCAACATTGTCGGCACGGTATCTACAAACAACACTGAGCAAGAAACGGGACGATTCGTTGCCACTCTTCAGTCTCCGGTTCCAGCGCCACCCTCACAACCAAATGTAGTGTACAAACTATCTTCACCGCACTATCCGCATCCGCCACATCAATGTTTTTGTCCGCCGGGACCTCCAGGACCACCGGGTGTACCGGGACCTCCAGGTCCTTCAGGTGAGCTTTGCTTTTAAAGTGATTTAATTTGTATTATTCTATTCTACCTTTATGCAGGCTCGCCGGGAAGACCAGGTTACCCCGGTATAAAGGGAGACAAAGGATCAAAGGGAGATAGAGGTCACTTTGGGTTGCCAGGCCATCGCGGTCCAGTTGGGCCGCCAGGTCATCCTGGTGACAAGCACTGGCCAGCACCTCCCCCTCTATATCCTCATCAACCTCCTATAATAATACCCATTCCTATTCCACCGCCACACAAGGGAAAGCATAAAGATCATAAAAGTGGCCATAAAGTAGTTCCCGGATTTCCTGGCTTTCCAGGCATTCCGGGGAAACCCGGGTATCCTGGCTATCCAGGTTACCCAGCGCACTCTAGCCCAGGTCATCCTCATCCTGGGCGTCCAGGGCATCCAGGACGTCCAGGACATCCAGGTTATCCAGGACATTCAGGACATCCAGGACATCCAGGACATCCAGGACATCATCATCCTGGCCATCATCATCCTGGCCATCATCATCCTGGCCATCATCATCCTGGCCATCATCATCCTGGCCATCATCATCCTGGGCATCATCATCCTGGACATCATCATCCTGGGCATCATCATCCTGACCATCATAATCCTGGGCATCATCATCCTGGGCATCATCATCCTGCGCATCATCATCCTGGGCATCATCATCCTGGGCATCATCATCCTGGGCATCATCATCCTGGGCATCATCATCCTGGGCATCATCATCCTGACCATCATAATCCTGGGCATCATCATCCTGGGCATCATCATCCTGGCCATCACCATCCTGGCCATCATCATCCAGGGCATCATCATCCAGGGCACCACCGGGGACCCCTACGAGATCAACCTACAGACGATTCTATGGATAATGTATTGGATACACTTGAAAGTCTAGCCGATGACCATACTGATGATCAAAACAATATCAACGACATCAATGATATCAACGATATCAATGATATCAACGATATCAACGATATCAATGATATCAACGATATCAACGATATCAATGATATCAACGATATCAATGATGTCAACGATATCAATGATGTCAACGATATCAACGATATCAACGATATCAATGATATCAACGATGTCAACGATATCAACGATATCAACGAATCACTGGTGTATGTAACACAAACTTTGTTTGACGAAGGTGAATCCAGCAATTATCAGAATAGTACATCGGTGAGCACTGAAGACAGCTCTGAAGCCACCAAGCCCAACACAAATGAACAGAGTATTGAAGAACAGCAACCAGTAATCAATAGCCAGTCCTTGGAGAATAACGATGTTGAAGAACGCAGTTCGAAAGGTCCACTTATTTTATCTATTTCCACTCCTCGAAATCCACTCCAAATATATGCATACGATAAAAGCAAATAAAAATAAATAAGACGGCTCTAGTTGGTAGTGCCTGACAAGAGATACCCGTAACCCTTCATTTATATTCCAATCGCTCTACGATTCTTTTCATAAATACAGGGCAAACATGGGCATCACTATAGGCATCATTATGGATATTGCCTACTTTTGGGTAAAAATTCCTTTTTCTTTCTGAAATCAAGGTTATGTTGTGATATATGTAACAGGCAGAATGACTATGGATCCCCCGTAAAAATAATACATAAGTTATTAAATAAAGCATTTGGAATGTGGTTGGTGTTAACAACTGGACACTTATATCTGAGGTGCCTTTTTCTTTCTATTCAATTAAGCATCGAAATCGGTGTTGTTTAAAGTAAAGTGCGTTGCTAAACGGTTGTACGATCGATATTTGGTGTCAATTTTTTGTATTATATTTAGAGTCATTGTATATGTTGAAAAATAAAGGTCGGTCGTGGATATCGTTTAGTCGGGCATCTCGACTAAAGCTTTCATTAGTGAATACCCTAAATAAATTTTAATCAATCAATAAAGTAGATCAATCAATTACGGGTTCTTCCGTACTTCGCATAAATATGGGATCTTGCATTCCAAAAATCTAGAAGCATTTATATATCTTATATATAAAATTCTCGTGTCACGGTATTTCTTGCCAAACTCCTCCGAAGCGGTTCGACCGATACTTATGTGTGCAGGTCGGGTAGGTCTGAGCGGGCCACCATTCAATTTTTATACCCTGAACCCATTGAACATGGGAATTCAGGGTATAATGGTTTTGTGAAAAAGTATGTAACGGGCAGAAGGAGGCGTGGCAGACCCCACAATGTATATATATTCTTGATCAGCGTGACGAGCTGAATCGATATAGCCCTGTCCGTCTATCCATCCGTCCGTCCTTATGAGTACGTCGATCTCAGAAGTTATGAGCTAAAGAGCTGAAATTTGGCATGCATACTCGTGTGTGCCATACGCAGTACAAGTTTATCATATTTGTTCGATAACTTTTTTATCGAGAATAATTGAAAAATTGATTTTGTTTTTTTTTTTCAGCCTAATTTGAACACTTTTACACTTAGAGACTTCAGATTTACTGTGTTTATACAGTTAATCGATACGAAGATTTTGTAATCTACAGATTTTGGATACCCAATTCGCACCCAATTTGTAAAAAACGTATTTCAAGTACTAGAGACTTGTGCTTTGGAATGTACACACAATTCTCAAAATATTAACCACACTGCAGCGCAGCCCAAGCTCAGTCGCTGCGCAGTCAGCAGACTGCGTGATTATGCGTGCGTGTGGATGGATGTGTATGCATGTGTATATAAAAGAAGTGCAGAATGATTAGAATATCTGCTTAGAGGGTTCAGGGTATCTCCTAGTCGAGCAGTCTCGACTGGAGCCTTTTTACTTGTTTCTAAATGTGTTCTTGAGATATATCAATATAAATTCATTTTTCAAAAAGAGATGTCAGCTTAAAATTTGAGTGAAAGTTGAAAGGATGGGCTCACAAGTATTGTTTGATGATTTCATTTCCCTTTTATAACGGCTATCGTAAAATTCGTGTAAACAAAAGCGTACGAAAACAATGAAAAGAACATGTAAATTCGAACAAATTAAATGCAAATGTGAGGCCTTTTCATAATAAACAAGTGAGAAGGCTCCAGTCGAGACTGCTCGACTGGGAGATACCCGGAACCGTCTAAGCTGATATTCTACTCATTCTGCATTTCTTTTATGCACACATGCATACACACGCATACACTGCACGTATATCACGCGCTCTGCTGACTGCGCAGTGATAATATGGCTTAAATGTGTGTACATAGCACAAGTCTCTAGTACTTGAAATACGTTTTTTACAAATTGTGGGCGGAGGGGGCGTGGATCCGAAAATCTGTAAATTACAAAATCTTTGTATCTATTAGCTTTATATACAACGCAAATTTGAAGTCTCTAGGTCTAAAAGTGTTCAAATTAAGCTGAAAAAAACAAATTCGATTTTTCGATTATTCTCGATAAAAAAAGTTATCGGACAAGTTATCGAAAAAATTAGATAAACTTGTACTGCCTATGGTAACAGGAGTATGCAAGCCAGCTCTCTGCTCTTATATCTTCTGAGATCGGTTTGCTCATACGGACGACGGACGGACAGACGGACAGACGGACAGACGGGCAAACGACTCAGCTCGTCGTCCCGATCAAGAATATGATTTCTTCTGCCTGTTACATACTTTTCACAAAACCATAATACCCTGATTTCCCATTTTCAAGGGGTTCAGGGTATACAAATTGACAACGATAATACAACTGAATTATGAAACTATTGTAGGTAACACATTTTCAGCAGTCTCGTTGGGAATAAATATCTAATTCTCTTGTTGGGAGAACAAATGAAATCTTTTAATCTATTATAACTAAAGCATTTTTGTTCATTGGCATGATTTATTTATATATGTACATAAAAAGGGGAAATATAATACATGGAGTTTGTTGATTTTATAACTTTTTAACCTGATTAAACTATATGTTATGATATTTTGAACTAGTTAATGATAGGTTCGTCTGCAGAAAGTGAAAGTGATCATTTCTTTCCAAACAGAATAGAATGGTCTGATGGGGGCTGTACATTCTGGTCGATCCACTTTGTGAGGTCAACTTGCGGGATACTTGAGCATGGCACAACAGGGTTTCTGTTAAGATAATCATGACAGATAATTGTCTAACAATTTACTTTTGTTATACTCACGATCCAGAAACCGTTTTAAATGCTTCAGGTTGCATCGAAGCAATATTGTTGCCGTTGTCGCATAGTAAACGCGCCATGCTAGCCTTGCGTAGCTCCGCTAATTGATCTAATTATAAAAGTATACGATTCATAAGTGTAATAAGTATAATCATTGCTAAATATTTTAGTACCTGGAGTAAAACCGGTAATTTTGTCGCCATTTTCATAGAAGAATCGATCGCCGACACGAGTTCTATAGAATTGTTCTGTTAGAATGCAGAGGAACGTGGGACCGGCTAATGCACCGGCTACATGTGCCTCTAAGGAAGCCCCGACTGTCAGGTCCACGTCCTCATGACTCGCATAGAGAGACCTGAGTGTAGCAATTATTTGGGGGCTGATCAGATCGCCAAAGTCCTCCCATGAGCTAGCGCGTTTTAGGCCACAAAATTCTCTCATATCATTGTAAGATGCAAGTCCATGATCACGATTGCGTTGAATATCCAGTGATCGCAGATCGGATCCAAAAGGCATATTACGTCTAAATAAGAAATGCTTAATCTAAGAAATAGGAGTTACATAGTTGAGGTAATAGTAAAGTAGTATTATTCATATCTATACACACCTGTCTGTCAAAATTGATATCCGTCAGCTCTTCGGGCTGAGTCGCATGACCTCTGGTAAGGGAGTCAAAGTTGTCGCCGACTTCGAGAATGCCAGGGCGATTAAACCAATCACTGAGTGTCAAGGAGCCAAGCACTGATCGTAGCTCGGACAGAAGACTACAAATATAAACAGTTATAACAATTATAGTCTTTCACGTAGTAATTCCTCACAGGTCAAAAATATATTCTTCATGCTTTTAAGGTAGAACTAACTGTAATTGTACTTACTCCAATCTACCCTCGATCTGGGAATGGAAATATCTGAATGCAGCCGTGGCGTGTTCGTTTAATACACTGGGGTCGATGTTGGCATCGTAGTCATTCACGTAGCTACCGCCGGGTGCTTTGTAGATTATGCGATTCTTTAGCATATTTTCTCCACCGAGGAAGATGGGGAGCCATTCGTAGTAGCTAATGTGTTGGTACTGGGCAATGTTTATTTTGCGGGCCTCTTGGAATAGCGTGCGATCATCGAAGTGCGGATTCAGCGCTGCGAGAGCATCGGCAATGCGGTTATGCTCACGCAGCAGCACGGTTTGTAGGATAGCAAGTCCTGGGTTCTGATTGACACGCACGTCGCCAGCTCTGTAGCAGACCTCATTGGGATCAACAGCGTCGCAGTCCCCTGTGACGTTGCGGGACAAGGGCAGCCACTTGGCTCCGTTGCGCTCCTCCACGATCATACGACCGCCTTGGAATTCACGGATGTCGCTGTTTTGCTGTATGGAGTTACCGTAGACCAGCGACAGGTCCATGTAGGCAGTGACTACTGTAAGCTGCTCGGCCGGTCCACCGGTGTATTGGCAGTTGGAATCACGGTCTGTCAGTGTACGAACAAAGTTCAGGCATTCCGTACCCACTTGGGAGTACGCCGGATCGTGCGGCGGCACAATTATAGCAAAGCAGGTCTTATGGGCCACGTCTAAGCCAACCAGGCGTCCATCATCGGTGCAGCAACGCGTCGGATGTTTCTCTATGGAAGTGGACATTGGTAATTGGGGAATTGGCATAGTGGGATATAGATGGAATCGTACTTGATTGGGTTCCACCAGCTTGCATGCTCATGTCGTGAGTTATTATCTGGCCCCATTGCATATTGTGCAGCGTGAACTGGGGATCGGGCACATCCTGTTCGCCAAACGCCACCAGAGATACCAGACGTGCACTGGGCAGCTCATCGCCAGTGACAGAGCGAGTTGGTGCTGAGATTCCATCGGCGTACTTGGGCGATAAAAGACGTCCGTATCTTACAAATAAGAAATTCGATGTTTGCATTGATAGTGTTGTAAGGGTATTGTAAGTTTAAGTCCTACTTTGTATTGGGAACGCCAAGTCCTGGACGTTCCAAGTGATTGCACGAGCCATCCATCGTGCGATAGGCCGACTTCTCACACACAGCTGGAGGACTCGCGCATGCGATTCGCGCTGGCATCGGAGGCGCTCGTGGGGTGTTCACAATTGAGAGGAAGGGATTTTGAGGTGCGGGTGAAGTATCCGCCAGTCCCGTGGGTAGGGCATTTCTGGAGATAAGCAAACAGTGTCAGTGTTCATAGTTGGGTGTAGGAAGGCCAAGGCTCTTACCCTAGCAAAAACTGACTTGGTGTGCCCTGAAGATACCCAAACCCATGGAAGTTTCCTCCACGAGGCTGCAGATGATCGTTGTGTACGATATGATAG